GAGGGGGAGAGGGGAGGAGAGGGAGGGGTGACGGGTGGAGGCCCAGGCCCTGGTGCAGAAGCCTCCTCTCTGAGCCGGGCCTGCTCAAGAGGGCCTGGCAGGCAGGGCTCAGGCCGGATCGTAGCTTCAGGCCTGTTGGGTGCAGCCGATGTGCCCGGCAGCCTCTTAGCCTCAGCACTGCGGCCGGCCGTGCAGGGGAGCTCCTGGAGGGACTTCGGCCAAATTTCAAGGACAGGCCACCTAGGCGCGGTTGAGAGGGGTCAGGGCACCCCTTCTCCACCACCTCCTCCTCCCCAGTCTCCACTTACAGGAAGCCTCCAAGAAGGAAGGGGTCGGGTCTAGGCCCTGAGTCCCGCTCGCTGCTGAGATTCTGATGTGTGATCAGCGAGGATTTGCTGAGAAGCTAATGCAACTTCAGCTTCGGGCCCCCTCACTTGCCCAGGCCCCTTCCACGGTCCTGAGCCCGATTCAGAACGCATAGTTTTATGAGAGGACACCCCACATTGTATAAACTCCAGACCCTCCCCTCCCAAAAACTTGGATCTGCCCCAGGTATAAAGTTTCTACACCTTTTCATCCACACCGAGGTTTGGGCTCCAGACACTGAAATCAAGAGTAAGTCTCAGGTGGGACTGGCAGAGGCCAAGTCTTAAAATCAGAAAGGCATCAGCTTTGGACGCGGGATCCCTCCGAGAAGGGCAGGGAGGGCAACAGGAAGGGAGGGTCAGCGTTCATTAAGCGCTTAATGTGTGCACACCACCGTGTTAAGCACTTGACATCATCATCTCACTTGATCTTCCCAACAACCTGAGAGAAGCTGTCCTCCCATCTGGCAGGTGAGAAGTCTGGGCGCCAAAGGCGTGAGTGGTCCAGAGTGGAGCTGGGACCCCAGATCAGGCCCGCGGGCTTTGGGGACCAGGCTTCCCCTGCACAGGAGCTGGGGGGAGGCCCAGGGAACCTGTATGATCCATTGAAACTGCTGGCGTCAGTGAACCTGAAACTCTTCTCATGTGACTAGTACCTGGAAATTACCTGTGCAGTACCCTTACCGACCAATGACAACCTGTCAAATGTCTCTGGTAGTCTCTGTAGACTGCTGGGGTTTCTTGTTCTTTAACTATATAAATGTATGTTTAGAGTTGCCCCTTGAACAACACAGAGGCTAGGGGCACCGACCCCTCCTCGAAGTCCAAAATCTGAGTATAACTATAACTTTGACTCCCCCAAAACTTCACTACTAATAGCCAACTGTTGACCAGTAGCCTTACCAACAGCATAAACAGTGGACTAACATACATTCTGTATGTTATATGTATTATATACTATATTCTTACAATAAGGCAAGCTAGAGAAAAAAGATGTCATTAAGAAAATCATAAGGAAGGGGCGCCTGGGTGGCTCAGTCGGCTAAGCATCCAACTCTTGGTTTGGGCTCCGATCATGGTCTCAGGGTCAGGCTCCATGCTCGGCGTGGAGCCTGCTTAGGATTCTCTCTCTCCCTCTGCCCCTCCCCCTGCTCCGGCACACACGTTCCTTCTCTAAATAAATAAAAAGAAAATGGAAAGAAAGAAAAGAAAATGCATTCAACAGTGCTGTGCTGTATTCATTGGGAAAAATCTGCGTATGCGTGGACCACGCTGTTCAAACCCGTGTTGTTCGAGGGTCAACTGTACATCCACAGATTCAGTCTCACTTGTGATTTTGCTGCCTTTTAATACATATATCCCCATGAGTTCCTCAACCCCCAATCCGCCTTCCAGGAAGCAGGATTTCAAGCACAAACCCACCACCACCAAGGAGAGGAGAGAGAGAAGAAACGACCGAGCCAATGGTGACAAATTTCACCTTGGGGCCACCTCCCGTAAGTCGGCTGCGAGGCCTGAGGTCCTGTGTTAGAACTGGCCTCTGGGCTTGGCAGCTGAGCTCTGCTAGCAATGCGTGCCCGAGACCCGGGGAAGGAGGAGAGGCAGCTTCCCCTGGCAGGTTATTCGTCAGCCCCTGGAAAAGCTGAGGCAAACCAGAAGGACAACCCTCCAGCCACAAAAATGAGTTTTGGCTTGAGATCTGTGACCAGACCCACATGCCCTCCGGCTGTCAAGGAGCTGGGATTCTAAGGGCCCTGTTAGCCGGGGTGGCCATGGCCAGAGGGGAGCGATGCCCAGCAGGGATGAAGACAGAGGTTCAGCCTTGGGCAGCCGGGGAGTTGGCTTCACCGCTGTGTCAAGAAGTCAGCCAGCCCACCCCACCCTAGATCAGAGGGGCTCAGCCCCAAGCCCTGCCCGAAGAAGATCCACGTCCACCTCTGTCTCCATCTGCCCCGTCCCTGGGTCATCTCACACGATCCCCCTGGGCTCTATTGGCATCTTCTCTAGATGTCCAAAGCAATGCTTTCCCTTAATTTCTGCAGGAAAACACTCACCGCATGAGGCCTTTGTCTGAGTGAGGGATTCTACCCAAGTCAGGGGCTGCAAGGGATCCCAGCAACAGGGAAAAGAGCTAGATGTCCTATGGGGACCCCCTGTGCTCGGGGACCACTGTCCCAGGGCTGGGATCAGGGCGAGGCAAACAGCGTACTTGCTTTGGGAGAGAATTGAAGGGGGTGCCCCCAAATCAAGATAAGTCATGTTTTAATGCAAAAAGTATTGGGGGAAAAAATCCATAGTGAACAAAAATCAACATTTTTAACAGAGGATGATTCTTACTGATTCTTCCTTTTGCCTCAGGTGCCAATATGGCTCTGCATGGTTGATCCTGGCTTTGAAATTTTGATATTTTGTGCACCATGGGTTTTCTCCCGGCAATTCTGAGTTTTAAAATAGGGCGTTAAAATACTATTTCCCTTGATTACTGAGATTTGGGGGGCTCCCTTGCAATCTGTGCCTGGGGCCAGCACCTCCTTCCCGCCTCTCAGGAGCGCCCACACTTTCTTCCTCCCATTTTTTTCAGGAGCAGCTGAGCACCTTCCCCCCACCCCCAAACTCTGCTCCATCTCCCAAGACCTGAAACTTCAACATTCTTCTAGGCAAAGGACCACCCCCTGTGACAGGAACAAGGGAGTCAACGCGGGCGGGAATTCCCATGGAGGTGAGGCTCCTTGCACACCAAGAGAGCTGTTCTCCCAGTTCCTCGGTGGACAGAAGCATCCCCATGCTCCCGGAAAAGGCTACGAAGGCAGATGGATTGGGTGAGCTGTCCTGAGAATTGAGCTAAAAACCAGAGGCCCGTCGACAGTAAGGTGAGGTCCTGTGTGCCTGGCTACCAGGGGAGCTGGAAGGAGAGGTCGTGTCTCCACAGCCGGTCAGCCGGTCCTCGGTCAGGGTCCTGACCCTGGACAGATTCCCTCTGCGTCTCAGCTGGGTACTGCACCCTCTGGGCAGGACGCTGCAGGATCCAAGGCTGGTCTGGAGCAGGAAGAGGGGTGATGAACCTAGTGTTGCCTCTGGCTCTGGGACTTGGCGGACTCCCCCATGGCTCGCACCGCCCCTCTGCTCTTCCCGTCCCACCCACCCCCGCTGTGTGGGGCAGCCTGAGAGCCCCGGGGACGAGTCTGGCATCCATGCTTCAGGATTTCATGGGCCCCCCAGACCAAGAGAAAACAGGAGGCCCCATCTGGCACTGGGAGGACGCTGGTTGGGCCAGAATGGTAGGCAGGCCTGCTGGGGCCTGGAGAGCAGCCACTGGGGTCAAAGCCTACAGAGCCAGGCCCAGTGTCCCAAGAAGCACTGTTCATTGGTGTGTGTGTGTGTGCGCGAGCGCACGGTGTGGACCAGGCACGCGGCCACCTCAATGTGGGGGTGACCATTCCCCATTCATAGCAGAGGGAACAAAGCAGAACCCGGGCCGGAGAATCCAGGCTCCAAAGCCATCTGGGCCAGCGTCCACAGAGCAGAAGAAGAGCTGGGGGTCCTAGTGTGCTGAATAAGCACAGACCGTCCTCCCAGAGGGTGGTCTGAGCTCAAGGCCCCAAAGTCCCTCCCAAAGAGGGAGAAGCGGCAGGCCCTCCAGGGGCCTCCACGGTGCTAAGGGAGAGGACTCCACGGCCTAAAGGCCTGGGTGGAGTCTTGTCTCTGCAGCTTACGAGGTGCCCACCTCAGGGCATTGAGGAGGCTTCAGGTGTAAAGTGCGGAGGGCAGTGGCCAGCACATGGTGAGGACTCTGTGCCCACCACACTTAGGAGTGTCACGAATGTGTAGGAAAGGCTAGTCTCATCATTATATTTAATTTATATGATAAATTGTTGCTGCGGCCACCCAGCGTGTTATGTTGTTAGAGTAGCCCGAACTAATACACGCCGAATCTCCCTCCTCTCAGAAGCCATTATCCCGGGTGAAGGAAGGGACAGTGAGGATCAGAAGGCAAGGAGGACCAGGCCATCATGGTCTCAGTCATGGGCAGAGGGGAGCTCACAGGAGGACCCGTTCACACACGAGGCTCCTTTTGGAGTCGTCCTGAGATCATGAAATCCTAACCCAGGGCCAACAGTCTTTGAAACATGACCCAGAACCAAGAACATGGAAAGAAAATGGGATTAGAGAACACAGTATGCTGAGGATGTGGAGGGCTAGGGCAAGGTCATGTCCACGGCAAGCAAAGCCGCCTATGAACCTGGAATGTCTCGGATTCTGCAACCAGCCTGAGCCACTGAAGACATTCCAGGCTCTTCCTCACCCACATGGCAAGTTCCTGGACACCCGGGAGATGTGTCGGGGCTGGAGCCCTGAACGGGAGATGTGACCCAACAAACGGCCCAGCACCAGGAACACAGGCTCTGCCCCTTTCCGGCTCTGCCCCTTTCCAGCTCTGCCCTCTGGGGGGGGATGTTTCACCAACCGGGCTGGGTTTTCTCTTCTGCAAAATGAGAAAAACGAGATCCATCTTATAGGACCATTGCAAAGGTTAGGAAAATGTACATACACAGCTAGAAATGCTTAGAGACTAAATAGTGTGGACAAGGTTCCACAGCGGGTGGGGGAGGACCCGAACACAGGCCTCCCCTCCCCAGCCCAGTGTCCGTCCACTAGGCCACCCTGCGTTCTGTGGTCTGATAATCCCGTCGCTTTATTCATCTGCTCGGACAGAAGTCACAAGCTGGTGGTCTAAGAGACAGTTGGTTTTCACAGCATTTAAATTGTTTTATTTTGTTGCCAGCAGCTTTTTAAAAAAGAGGAAATTTCACATAAAAACATGGATGTCCACCTTCCCCCAAGAGATCATAACGTCTCCAACGCCGAGCCGGATTCCCACATGGTGACACCTGGCAGGCCCGGAGAGGCCACCACCCCCTGGGGGCAGGTCACAGGCACGATTTTGCCACGCCCCATTATCCACAACTTACACCAGGCCTGCTCCCCACGGCCCCCCGTTTCCTTTCCCTACTGGCCCCAGGAGCATTTGGACACAGGGAATGCAGCCTTTTGCAGGGAAAGGCACTTGCCCCGGAAAAAGAGCTGGGCCTCTCAACACCAGAGCCGATGAAAATTGCAAAGCATCCCTTGAAATGTGTAAACGGTGATTAGCAGGCTGGAGACATGATTTATGAAGAAGGATGAACACAGGAAATGTGCCGAGCTTGGCTGAACGGTGACGTGGCCAGAGATGCGCTCCGACCGCGGGCCTCGGGAAGGAGCAAAGTTGTTAGAGGAGCCCGAGGGGACAATTCAGAGACGCAGAACCTGAGCCACGGAAATTTTCAGCTGAATTATCAGGAAACTATCCCTGGAGTCATGAAAGCCTGGGCAGAGGAGGAGTCAATGGGGAGAGGGAAGGAAATGCCTTTCCTGTTTCTGCCTGACTTCTTCTCAAAAGCGGACACCAGATCATTTGGAGGGCACAAGGGAAGCAGCTCTGTGGACTGGAGGAAGGGGCCCCCGGAGGGATCTGACCAGACTTCAGGCTTTAGCACCCAGAGTCAGGGTCAGCTGACTGGCCTGCCCCAGGATCAGGGATGGTTATCAAAACATGGTCATGGGATCCTGGTTTTGGAAGAACAACCTATTGGGTGGGTGTCTTCATCAAGACTCTTTTCGGTTGCAACAAAAACCCAACTCAATCTGGTTCATGTGAAAAGAAAAATTATTGGTTTCCATAAATGATCATTTCAGGGGTAGTACTATGTCAGGTGTGGCCGGATCTAGGGGCTCAATGGACGCCATCAGGACCTGGTCTCTCTCCATCTTCGAACTCTGCTTTCTTCTATGTTGGCTTCCTTGTCAGGCAGCCTCTCCCCTGTAGTAGTGAGTTGGGGACCACCAGCTCCGGGCTCACATCCTGGAGACGTCAGGGGAAAGAAAGCACACTCCGTTCCCATGATCCCTGATCAGCAGGCATCCTGAGATCAACTCGTGTTGAAGCAATGTTGGGTCGCGTGCCCATCCCCATAGTAACCAATCAGACTGATCTGGGGGTATAATGCCGTGGCTGCTATCCAGCACCCTGAACCCATCACAGCACTGGGGTGGGGGTGAGGTCGGCCCCTCTCAATCCAGATGAGCTGCCTGTGGAGCAGGGATTCTCCATAGGACAATTCATGTTCTGTTTCCAGAAGTGGGAGGGTTGGACCTGAGAAGGCAGAAGCACACAGTAGGGCAGCAGAGCACAGAGGGCAGGGGAGGGGATCTACAGCAACGAGGCAGCCTCTTGGGGCCCACCCAAGCAGAGCCACCACGGAGCCTCCTGGGGCACACTGGAATTTGGGAATGCCACCAGCGGGGCTGCCCCAGGTCTCACGGTGCACTCCGGGATCCCTAGTGCCCCCACCAACCACTGAGGCTAGGATAGTTAACATTCTCGTCACTTGGTGAGGCTGCCTTGGGTTCTGAGTGAAACCGCAGCTTGATGAAGTCAATGCCCGCAGCCTAGAGGAGCCTGGGGAAGCTGGGGTGCAGGGGCTCAGGATTCTACACCCAGAAGGGCAAAGTGCACATCCCAAGGCACCCCCAGGGCCCCCCACCCCTTCCCAGGTAACTGTCAGCCTCGGCCTCGGGAAGGATGAATCCCCTTCTTGCCAATGACCGGCTTAGGTATGGGCATGTGGTTTTAGCCAATGAGAGGCGAGGGAAGCTGGACAGGGAAAGAGGCCTGGCCTTCTGGAAAAAGATGTCCTTGCTGACCACCACCACCAACAACAAAAATCCCATTTGAACAAACAGTCCCTTTCCCACCGTTGGCGTGTCTGGATGGCATGCCTGGACTGGGGGGAGGCAGGCTCGGCGGAGCCGCCGTGCTGAGGGTGGCCGGGGAGAGTCGGGGCTTCTCTGGCCATATTGCACAGTGGCTGAATCAGCCAACCTGGAGCGGCCACCTCGGGGAATCTGTCATGTGACCGAGTCCCCGTCCTTGCCTTTGAAGCTAGCTGAGCTGGGGTTTTGTTCCCTCCAGCTGAAAGCAGCCTACTGAATCCAGGACTGAGGGCAACTTGACTCAGAGCGGGAAGGGACACATGAGGCCCAGGAGGGACGGGGACCCCAGGCCCCGCTCACAGGCATCCTAGCCACTGTCGTGGGCTCCGGTCACCAGGGGCGTGTCTTACCAAGGCTGCCCTGCACTGCTCAGGGGAAGAATTTATCCCTTCTGGGCCCCAAAGGGAATTTTTTTCCTAAGTCACTTCCTTGAGCTGGTTTAAATCAGCCTCCCTTGGAAGGGCCAGGGACACTTCTTTTGTATGTGGTCAAAAAAAAAAGAGCTCTCACCTCGCTGTCCATCAATAGGAGCAATTAAATTCATTCAACTGCAGCTGTCTGATGGCCACATTGATGCTAACAAACGTGCTCAAAGACGCGGGAGATGCTTTGTACGTACCACTCAAAGGGAAAAAAGGAGACAAAACTGTAGGTACAGCATGATCCCAATTTCATAGACATATACTTAATACACGCCCGTAGGAAAAAAGACTGGCAGGAAATCCAACAATGTCTCACCCTGGGTGGTAGAATTGGGGTGAAATTTGTTTTCAACTTTATATTTCTACATAGTTTTCAAATTTTCTGCAGCGAGTATATATTACAATCATAACCCCCAAACTAGTGGAACATTAAAAGTACTTGGCAGCGCCCGGAGAAAGCACCGGAAGGAGAGAAAAGTCTTCTGTTCTCCCCTCAGGGTCCAGGGCCCCAAGCACCCCCAGGCCAGTGCAGGCCATCCATCCGGGAGTGCAAGGTCGGTCCTGCTGCATACAAAGGGGGAAGTAAGAAGCCCGCATTCCCGGGCCCAGGATCCTCCACCAGATGCACCTCCCACCACGATCCAGGTTCTCCCTGGAACCAAGAGGCAGCAAAGCCCCCAGAAATGAGCCAGCTGCGGAGCTGACCCTACACAGGCCAACTCCCCAGGAGCCTCTCACACTCGGGGAGTTTGGCACGTGGGAGGTTAATTCTCTTATCAAAACTGTACAAAATCCTAATTTTGCAGAGTGGCAATTTGGGGCAAAAAAAAAAAAAACCCCAGCAATGGGAAAATGTTGGTTATGCAGCACTAGACATTCAGTTCTCAGGGGATCAATTATAAAAACACTCATTCAGCTATTTCTATTCAAATGAACACCTGAAGAGGGGGCCTCAATGGTTTTAAAAGTGTGTGGATATTACTGGATAAATGTTAGTCCAATAAAAGAGATCATCATCCGCTATTTGTGTACATTTAAGTTGACACTAAAAAGATCTTTGTGGAGGATCTCTGGCTGCTTCTTCTTCTGCACGCATCTTTTTATCTCCTATTCCCTTAACACTTTAAGGACTGAAGGAAACAGACCACATGCGGCCAGTCCTGGGTTTCCTTGTTTTCTCCCTCTTTTTCTTCTCCGCCCACCCCCCACCCGGTGATTAAAGGGACACGGGTGCTGGGAAGGCCACACCTGACGTGGGGAGCCGAGGTGTCTCACACTGATGAATATGTAATGTCCGGCTCGGAGGTGCCGTCACGAACTCATAATAAGAATTCACGAGTCTGTGTCTGAAAACAGACATTTGCATTTGCCCTGCGGTCACAGTACATGGACCATTCTTATTCAAAAATTTATTTTTCTTCATTTTTCAAGGCCTGGAAATATTCCGTGCCCTCACTCCCCACCAGCACCCACACAGGCGCGCGCCCTTCTTTCTGTGCTCTCTTTAAACAGAAATTAAGAGAAGGGAGCCCGGAGCCCCGCAGCCCCTTCCCCTGCAGCCACTGGACCTGGGCGAGGGCCCCCCAGCTCCCGGATAGAGACCCCCCCAAACCTGGTTCCAGGAGGTATTTGCGTGTCCAGGATGAAATGCAGAATTAAACAGAAGAGGAGCACAACAAATGGGGGAGGGCAGGTTGGGGCTCAGCAGACCCCAAAGCAAGGTGGGCGGGCTTCGCCGGGCCCCTGCAGACACCTGCCGCGCGGGCAGGGCGCCGTGCCCGGGGTGCCCGCTGGCGGACGGCATGTCCCCGCCAGCGCAGCGCAGAGCATGTGGCTTCTGGGTGAATGCCCTGAAAAACAGCAGCCTCCTGGTCATTTCTGAAAAACGGACTTTTCGGAAGGGGCCTCTTGGAGCCTGAAGCGCGAAGTCCTTGGCGGTGCGTGAGGGGGGCGGGGTCGCCCTCTGAGCTACCAGGAACCGGGGTGGGGGCACCCCCCTTTACTCGGGTCTCCCCTCCCTTGCTGGCTGCTCAATAAAGGGAAACGCGCTCGGTCTCTTGCAGGTCAGGCTCTCTGCCCAGCCCGGGCCCCGGGTCCCCAAGGCCTCCGGGCGCCCCGACCGCGTGCACGCCCCGGCCCCGCCCCGGCCGCCGGCGCTGACCGCGTGGACGCGGCTGCGTGCCGCCCCTGCCCCGAGCGGCCCCCCGACCCGTTTCCGCCTCTCTTGCCCCGGAGGTCCGCCAGGCCGAGACCGAGACCACGAGCCCCGCGGGGCGCGCCTTCCCCGGGCTCCGCGCGCACGCGCTTGGCCTCCGGCGGGGGAGGTAGGGCGCCTCCACTTCCCGGGGGCGGCGGCCGCAGGAGGGGGCGTCGCGCTTCCGGGCCCCTGGCCGAGCCGCTGGTGACGGAGCCCGCGAGCCGGGAGCGAGCAGGTTCCTTTGTGGCCGCCGTGTGGCCGGAGAGCCGAGTCCCCATTGCAGGGCTGACAGTGACACCTGCAGTTTAACGCGCCGCATGTCACGCGGGCGGACGGGCCGCCACTCCTCCAGCCCCGGGGCCAAACAGGCCAGGCGGGCCGCGGGTCCCCAGGGAAAGGGGGTGAGGCGACCCAGTTCTCGGGGCCTGCTGAAGGAGCCGAGGAGGCTGGGCACGCACCTGCCGCCCCCGCTTCGCAGCTCGGTGCCTCCAGAACCCAGATGCCCAGGATGGTGCCTCTGCTCTGCCCAGGGCCAGCCTGCCAGCCGGCAGCCCTCTGCCACCATACCCATTGCGCAGATAAGGAGACAGGACCGCAGAGGGGAGAGGCTTGGTCAAGGTCACCCAGAGGGATGGTACCTGAGGCTGGTCTCCAGCCTCTGACCACAGAGCAGTGCTCAGGACCGCCGAGGCCCCCCGGCTTTCGACCAAGCCCCCTGCCTTTCCTGGCGTGGCCACCACGGGAGAATGCGCATGGAGCTCTGTCAGAGGTCATCTCTCGGCCACCATCCACTGTCCACCCTCCATGCTCACACGCCCGCGTGCGCACGTGAGGGCGGCGGGTCCCCGTCGGAGGAGTCACTGCTCCGAATCCAGGGCCTGGTCCTGAGGCTGGCTCCTCTGAGCCCGGGCTCCGCTTTCTCCCTTACGCTCCCTCGCAGAAGTCTGAGCCAGGACTCGGGGAGCCGGGAAGGAAAAGGAAGCGTCGCAAAGATTTCTTTATAACTTTTCTCAATATTCTGCTGATTGCTAGCTCAGAAGCAGATGTGGTATGCTTAATGATGCATAGACAAGAAGCAGCCCCTAATCCCTAAATGAACTTATCTCTAAATATATACAGGGGAAGCTATATAAACTCCATTAGCCCCTCCGCTCTTCCAGCTATCCGAATGCAGGAGTGGGGAGAGTGGCCGCCTAGGAGAGCCGGCAGGGTGGGTTCGGGGCAGGGAGGGGAGAGGGCGGGGAGGCAGCGCCCACCGCCTCGGGGTGACGGGCGACCCGACTTCCCGGCCGTTCCCGCAGGGGCATCGGTCGGCTTTCCTGGAAAGCAGCTTCGCCAGTGGCTGCAGCAAGAGCAAGGCTACCCTACACGGGCCCAGCCTCTCTACTCAGCCGTTTCCTGTGAAAGGGGCCCGGATGGTCCCTGCAGACCGGCTCTTCTTCCTCGTCTCGGCCTCTGCAGAAGACACACTTGTGGTGAGATCCAGCAAGGTTTTAAAACTGAACTCTTGACCCGGGGAGTTACCAGAGCATTGGCCCTGGATCTTCTTCACCGTGTGCAGGCCCTGGGCCGGGGCCAGGGAGGGCCCAGGGCCGGTGGGGACCGATGGGAGCCCCAAGTGCAGGTGCGTGCCGGAGGCAGACCCCTGAGCTACAGGAACACGGAGGGGCCCCCGCAGGCGTGCCAGAGACAGGGCGGAGGCCAGCAGTGCGGAGGCTCCGAGGCAAGCGAAGGCCTGGCCTGTCTGGGGCTGGTAGGTAAGTCCGGATGCCCCGGAGGACAGGGGTCATGGGAAAACCCGGGGTGGGGGGGGGCGGGGAGCAGGCAGGGAAAGGCCTCCGGCTCCAGGAAAGGAGCTCGATCTGTGTCCTGCAGGAGGTGAAGGGCACCCTCGGGCCTGTTCCCGCAGGTTACTACTGACAAACCGGGGCTCCTGCTGCCAGGCCGAGTGGGTGAGCAGGAGCTCGGTTCCCGTTCCAGACTCAAGTCCCAGAGATCCCAAGAGGTCCAGAGATCCCAGATCACTTCGAAGCTGTTCAGCCCAGCCGGCCTGCTGCACTCGAAGGAAACCCAAAGAAGCACAGAGAGCCTGCGGAAAAGAGAGTGAAACCACCCTCCACCCACCCCGTAGCCAAAGTAGAGCTTATGCATATGCAACGTGGGCCCACTCAGAAAGCTTTTCGATTAGTCGCGCGGAGGAGCCGTGGCCGGGGTGCGGAATCTATATGTCACCTTACGCTGCACACAGCTGGGTTCAGACCAGCACTGGTGCTCATATGCAAAAAAAGGCAGGTTCTGTATTCATGAGGACTCCCCGGAGAAGCCGGGAGGGGCCGGATCCTTCTCCAGTTCCACAGCCAGCGAACAAAGGGAGGCCCGTGGGGCTCTCCGGCGGGGGGGGGGGGGGGGGGGGGGGGGTGCAGGCGGGCAGGCAAGAGCCAGGCAGGAAAGAAGCCCCTGGGTCGGGAGGAGAGGCCAAGTCTTCATCAAATCACAGTTTGGGGAGGAAAAACATTCTTGATGGAAAAGGAGACTTCAAACCCAAAGGAGCTTGGAGTCCAAAGCTCCCCCAAGCACCCCAGTCAAACGGCCTCATTTTCTTGATGGACAAACTGAGGCCCAGAGAGGAGAAATAACTTTCTGAGAGACACACAAGCCGGTTTTAATTTGGGGTGGGGGGCGGGGGTTCCCATGCAAATAGATTTGCATTTCTTCTAACTTTTGTTCAGAGAGGTAAAGAAAGATCCAGGAGATCCTGAGAAGGTCAGTCATGTCAAGGCTGTGCTTTCCTGCAATGAGCTGTGCTGAGAAAAAGTGAAGTCTAAAACGTGGCCGTTGCCCCCAAGATGCATACGCACTGTTTGGGAATAAAAAGAATGCTCCTGTTCAGAACAGTTAGCAAACAACTCAAAGCGACCTGGAAGAGGAACTTAAAATAAGAAATACGCTGCATGTTTTCGGAGTAAGTCACGTGAACACGGACCCGCCAGGTCTGTGGGATCCCAGAGCCACGGGGTCTGAAGCATCTCAGGGCCCGGGGTGGAGAACCGTCAGCCACCCCACAACTACACCCCACATCTACCTTCCTCCCACTTCACTCTGAGCCCCCTCTGGCTCCCCTCTCCAATTCCCCTTCATTGGGGTTTCTGGGAGAAATGTGCAGAAAGCTCACCGGGGCCGCATGGCTGGATGCAGAGAAAAGACAAAGCTCCCATGGTTCAAAGTGCTTGTCTCTTAAAAAGGCTACTGAAGCCCAAACCAGCCCGCCTTCCCTCCCCCCCGCCCACCCACAATTAGCAAATCCATTAGCAAAGCAGCTCTGTGTGCTAGATACATGCAACCTACAAGCTAGACACCTCTTACCCGAACGCATTTCCTCACCTGTAAAATGCAGGTAACAAGGCCTACCTGACAGGCTTTCCGTGAGTACAGGGGATCAGGTGTGGACGACGTTTAGCTGAAGTTAAAGGCCTCTAGGATAATCTGGCAGACGTTAGCCATCGATGCCATGTGGGAGCCACGGAGAGCTTGGCTATGCCCCTGAAGACGACGGGGCCACCTTGGTGCGTGGGCCGTGCGACGTTTCTGCCCAGAGTTCAGGAGCCCTTTCCGCTCACGGCTCCATTCAGAGACTCAGGGCTGATCCAGAGGGATGGAGTGCCCGCACGTCAGATGCCCAGGTGCACAGTTCCCACCTGTGGCAGAGGTGGTCTTCCCTCCCTCCTGAGTCTGCACCCTCTCGTGCCAACTCCACTGGGGACGGTCACAGGGCTTACTCTGAAGTCAGCTGCGCTCCTGGGAAGGATGAACTGTGGAGGCTGCATGTGAGTCCGGCACTGCTCTCTCCTGAACACTCTCAGCATCTAAAGAAATGAGCATCATTTTTCTAAAAATGCATCACAGGCCAAGATAGGGTTGGTTTTTTACCATCACATAAATTACACCTGAACCTCCCTGACCGCACTGGTCAGCCCTGGGCTGTGTTCGCTCTCGCCCTACTCGCAAGCCTGTTTAGCCCCTGTCATTTTACTCCACAGATGCTGCCATACCCAGGGAGGTGGTGAACTGGGAGACTTCGGGGAACCGGCAATTAGTCCTAATCCAAGGAAAGGGTTTTGACAGTGACCCCTGAGATCTAGGAGGATCTTCTAGTTAACCCCCACCTCCCCATTAGCTGGGCTCCCTGTCAGGGTTCATTCACTAAATGACAATAAGAATTGTCACGTCAGAGTCTCTTCCCAGTCAGGTGGGAGAGACCACAGGCAGAAACAGCTCCTGCCTTGAGGGCCCCCCTTGGCTTCCGGGGTCCTCTCCTCAGGGTCTGCCTGCTCAGGACTGGCCAGAGAGTTTGAATTCTGACCTGACTGCCTCCTTGCTGGTGCCCTTGAACAAGACACCGAATTTCCCCGAACTCTTAGGTTCCAGGCAGCTCCCACGGGGCTGTTTTGAGAACTGAATGGGAGCTACAGAAAGTAGCCCCCTTCCCCGCTGCATCGCCCTAAAGGCTCCCTTCATGGTGATGGGCTCCACCATCTGGAAGGCGTGGGACCTCGGACAGGTATTGCACTGCTCTGTGCCTCAGTTTCATGGTCCATCGAACGGGGACTGTAATATGTTCTGCTTCCAGGATCGTGGCTGCAGGCGCTCAGCAGCATCTAGTACATCAAGTCTTCACAAATGTTAGCTGCTATTCCCCCAGTACGTCAGGAGCTCCCCGGGGCAGGAACTGATCAGTCCTTCATCCCTGAACTTGCACCAGCAAGCATCTACCACACATGGTGGGATGTGGCTACAGACATGTTTCAAGACATGAACCCAGCTTTGAAGAGCTCAGTTTCTGGGTGGGGCAGGAAGGCAATACGGCAGGCGCTAAGAGAGGCTTAGCTGGAGGGCACTGAGGGTGGAGGATCTACCCCAGCCTGAACCATCTTCGTGGAGAAGAAGCCATCTCAGCCCAGCCAGGCACAAAAGGGATGGACAGTGAGCAGGTGGACAAGAGTCTCCGGGCGTAAGGAAGAGTGTGCAGTGGCCAGTGGGATGGGGTGCGCTCTGTCTCCCTCCTCTGACACACCCAGAACTCTCGCCAGGCCCCTGGGACTCGGGACATGCTCAGGGGGCAAGCAGCCAGCCTGCCGCACATCCTCCATCCCGCAGAGGTGTGGCTCCAGGTCTCCGGGGAGGAGATGCGGTGCCCTCCCTGCAGAAGTAGAAGCAGAGCAGAACCAGCCCGCAAAGAGCCTAGGGCGGTGTGTGAGCAAACGGACAGCCGTGCTTGGGCCTCGCTGGATGTACCAGGCCAGGCTGCTGTGGGAAAGCGTTACAGCCCCCCTCAGAGCCACGCACATGCCCAGGGCCTCAGTGGCTTGGGTTTGGGATGGGTGTTTAGGCGGCGGGGGAGGAGCACACCTGGGGAAGCAGGGGCCAGGAGGTGCAGGGTCTTGCCCGGCCACGCTCCCAACGCCTCCTTCTGGCAAAGGTGCCCAGAGCTCTGTCCTCCCTTCTCCCCTTCCCGCCGGCCCCTGCCCCTGACTCCCACAGCACACCCCCTGGAGCTCCTCTCCTGGCTGACATGTTCATTGTCCACTCCGTACCCTCCGCTTCAGCCTCCAGTGAAGGCTGTAATTAGAACCAGCAGACGGACGGACAGGAGGCATCGAGGATGGGCGCGTCCCCAAATGCCTGTTAGGTTGTTTTTCCAGTGTCTTCCATTCAGGTTACAAGTTGCCAAATGCCTTGGGACTGGGGTGCCCTTTGGTCAAACTGTATCGTCTCCCACCAGGGGTGAGTGCAGGTGTCTCTCCTGTCAGACACCCTCCAGACCCAGGGGCACTGGGAGGAATCCGGGCTTGACCTCTCTGACTACAGGGGTGGAGGAGGCAGGGACTGGAGGTCAGTGAGCAGCAGAGCCTGGGCCGCAAGCAGGCTGTGGGCCGGTGGCTGGGAGGTGGCAGTGAGGGCAAGAGGAGGTGCCTGTGTTTGTCTATGAACATAGGAAGAGCTGTTTGTAGCCTTAATTAAATAAAGACTCATACATATTCAGCCTAGCAAAGCTGAGCCCCCACAATGAAGCATGTCCAGGACTAGAAGGTTTTCTGGGGGGGACTCTGCAGTGATGCAGGCTCGTACCCGAGGAGGTCACACCATGGCCCCCACACACATGTCGGAATGGAAAGGGCACACTGCTCACAGCCTCTGCTGGCTTCAGTGACCAGCTGCTCCTTCTGCCTTGCAAGCCAGATGAACTTGTGTTTCAGGGACCCGGGGCCCACAGCAGCCAGGGAGAGGTGCTGCCAGCACAGTCCTGGGGGTCACAGCCCAGGCAAGGAGGGGGAGCAGCGCCCAAGCACCCAACTGCAAGTGTTGCAGCTCCGCACTGGGCCCCACGCCCCAGCTCACCGAACAGACCGGAGTCCCCATTAGGACTGTGGGATCTGTAATGCCCACTGTCGTGGGGCTGTGGAAGGATCCAAGGAGGTGGGGTCCACACAGCACTTAGTGCAAGCCTGGCACTCAAAAGATCGGTGTTATTCCCTATTATAGGGCAGGGGGTTTGTCCCCATACACCCAGATCAGGGAAAACCCGGGAGTACTGAACGCTCCAGGAGCACAGCTGAGCAAGGAGCGAGCTAAAGGGCTTGAAGCTGGATCTGGGATGAAATGAGGAGTGTGAGGGAGGGCATGGCAGTGACAGGGTCCCAAGTGTCCCCGCAGGGCTGGTGCCCTTGGCCACCCACTGACCCTAAGCACAACACAGGCACGTAGTAAGCAGTTCGGAGGCAGGATCAGGTACAAACCCAAGAGGGACTGAGCCCCCCACCCCCACCACCTATTAATTCATTTGTGCTCCTTTTTCTCCCCCCTTCTTAGGTCACAGCCTTGCTCAGAGTTTGGGCCACGTCTTGGTCCATTGAAATGTTTCATGACCCTCATGAGCCTCCAGGGTCGAGCTACAGACCTCTGCCGGTGAACCTAGCAGCGCTGTGTCCATGCTGTTCCAGGCCCTGCTGCTCCACCATCACCACCAGCTTCCTGTTCACACGCACCTCCTTTCCTCCGTGCTCCGCAAGGCCACCGGGAAGCTGCATGCTCCCTCGGCACTTCTGGGCCCCTGTTGTCACACTGTGACACATGGGGCATTTGCATCTCTCTAGCCCCTCTCGTTCCCTGAGCTCCCCAAACTCTGGCACCTTCCCATCCCTCTGCAGTCACCGAGCTCCTCGCTACTTCAGAAACAGGCTGCCCCTCTCACTCTGCACCCGGCTCATGCCGCCAGACTTCGGACACTTCTGTCCCTTTGGAAGCACTGGGGTATTGTCCTTCGGAGCCTTGCACTGATGTGCACCTCATCTGTCTGCCACCCCACTCCCTTGAAGTGTGGGCGGCCACAGGACAAGGGCTCTTGCCCATTTCATTCGCTACGTACACTCAGGTCAAGGCCTCTACGGAACGGCTGAACAAAAAAGGGCCAGGGCTTTGGAACCAGAGACGTCCCACCTATTTCGTACTGGCTCCATGGTTCCTCAACTCAGAAGAGTTGTCAAAGCAGCTAAGTGTGATGTCACTGGACATTCAGTGAGTCTCAGCAGAGTCCCTGCCGGCCTGAGTCCCTCCTGTGGCAGCACCCAGGGCACGGGGGGCCGGTGACCATTCGCCCGAAGAGTGAACCCTCCCAGGAAGCAGAACCGCGTCCGCTACAATGACCTTATTACACAGCAAAGACAAAGCGGAGAGGGTCTGAGGGAAGAGCTGGCTAAGGAGGAAGATTTTCTGAACTTACTTGCTTTTTCCAACCATCTGATAGGGGCATTCATCTCAGCAGGAAGCCAGTCGCCACGGGGAGCAGCCAGAACCCAGTCCTCCCCGGGAGAATTCCGGAGCCCCTGACCACTGCACAGCCTGGCCTCCTCTCCGCTACCCCTTGGGTCCAGACACACCACGTTTCTGCAGTCCTTAAGGCCACACTCCAAAGGGTGGCTCCTTGGGGTGCACTGGGGCTATGTTCCTGGGTTCTTCACTCAGCCTGTTCAACAGGCATGACTGTGTGTAGGGAAGATGCTGAGGACATTAAACTGCTTAATTGGTATGAGCTCAACTACATTTAAAAAAAAGTCTCTAAAAGAAAATATATAAGAGATTTAAAAAACTCTGACAGGTAGGATTATGGATGATTTTTACTTTCTTCTTTATAATTTCTTTTACTTTTCAAGCGTTGCAATGAATAGATATTCCTGTTATGATCAGAAAAAAAAAAAAAACTAACAAATTCCAGATAGCATCAGATTTGCCTAAAATCCAATTCACCGAATAATAAACTTGCTACCTGCCATGTTCACCCAAAATCCGCTCTGTGGACAGGGTTTACCAGAGTCCTGGCATTTTATATACAACGTAATGGACAAAGCCCTCGGCACAAAAAATTCATTTTTAGATACTGATTCCTATTTTTACCTTTTTTCTTTTTTAAACATTACACTACTGTTTTTATCTAATCCCTCGAAGGGTACTTCTTCCTTAATTTTGTGTTTTCAATAAGATTTTTTTTTTCAGGCACCTGGGTGGCTCAGTTGGTTAAGTGACTGCCTTCGACTCAGGTCATGATCCCAGGGTCCTGGGATCGAGTCCCACATTGGGCTCCCGGCTTGGCAGGGAGTCTGCTTCTCCCTCTGACCCTCCCCCATCTCATGTGCTCTCTCTCATTCTCTGTCTCAAATAAATAAAATCTTTAAAAAAAAAAAAAAAAAGATTTTTTTTTTTTTCAAATACCTTCAGATAAGATAGTTATAGCACCTCCTGAGCAACCTACAGGGTCTCAGTATTAATACTTCTATTTGCTCTACTGATGATTTTAAATTTTTTAATCTTTTGTTCTAGGAACTTGTGTTCATTGGTTTAAAAAGAAAAATATTTATACGAAAGTAAGCATCCTAGCTGATATGAAAAATTAACATATTTTAAGAATCCACATTTTAGGCAAACCAATTGTTAAGTGAATGGGGTGTGAATGGGTCAGTTCACCCGAACTAGCCACAGCCTGAGCCGGGCTCACACACCCCCCATCCTTGCAGGTCTCTGCCCCTCCTCACCTGTGGCAGGCTAGCCTCAAGGGCATCCGATCGGCAGAAAGGACTTCGAGCTGTTCTCAAACTAGGAGCCTACACACAAAAAAGAGTGAAAAACCCTGGCCTTTCCAGTGCTGATTTCCAAAGAGAAATACTAAAAAGCAACGTTGTAGAATAGGAAAACACAAGGTGGTATTTCAGGATTACAGGTTCAAATTCCAATTTGCTGTGTGACCATCGGCAAGGTATGTCACAAACTAATCCTGGCTTTCTCATCTGTGAATGGGGCCAACATTTACCGTGTCGGTACCAACCTCCCAGCTTGCTGTAACAATGAGACCGATGGCATGACACCAGCTACTGTCAGGAAGTTTCCTGACAGAAGGGTTGGCGCTCTCAGCAGAAGCAGACAGGCCTGCCCACTGTCCCTTCAGAAGCTGTGCTCTGCATCTGTCTTGGCACCAAAGCAGAGAAAGTTTTCTGATGAAGAGGTCACAGCAATTTGAAAAATAAAAAGGGCTTTGCCTGACTCTCGATTTTTTTTCCCTTACTCTGGTCCTGCCCCAGTTTTTTATCCAGAGGACAGCTTTGGGAATTAGAAGGGATGATTTGCAGATACTCCTTCGCAGTCTGCAACTGGCCTATGTGTCTGCCCTCTAACAAATTCAAATTACGTTTAACCTAGCACTTAAAAAAGAAAAATCTATGATTCTCTTTACACATTGCTTACTTGCTAATCTACATAAAATTCCAATAAGAAACAAATAAATAATCCTAGAATTTGTATGGAACCACAAAAGACCCCAAATAGCCAAAGCAGTCTTGAAAAAGAACAAAACTGAAGGCATCACAATCCCAGATTTCAAGTGATATTACCAAGGTGCAGTGATCAAAACCGTGTGGTACTGGCACAAAAACAGACACATCATCAAAGGAACAGAACAGAGAACCCAGAAATAAACCTGTGATTATATGGTCAATTAATCTGCAACAAAGCAGGAAAGAATATGCAATGGGAAAAAGACAGTTTCTTCAACAAGTGGTGTTGGGAAAACTAGACAGCTACATGCAAAAGAATGCAACGGGACCACTTTCTTAAGTGGTTCACACTTACAAATAAACTTAAAATGGATTAAGGACCTAAGTGTGAGACCTGAAATCATAAAAATCCTGTAAGAGAGCACAAGCAGTAATTTCTCTGACACTGGCCATAGCAACATTTTTCTAGAGGTTTCCTGAGGCAAGGGAAACAAAAGCAAAAATAAACTACTGGGACTACATCAAAATAAAAAGCACAGCAAAGGAAACACTCAACAAAACTAAAAGACAACCTGCTGAATGGGAGAAGGTATTTGCAAATGACATATCTGATAGTATCCAAAATATATAAAGAATGGATACAACTCAACACCCAAAAAACAAATAATCCAAGACATTTTTCCAAAACAGACATCCAGATGGCCAACAGACACATGGGAAGATGCTCAACATCACTCATCATCAGGGAAATGCAAATCAAAACCACAATGAGATATCACCTCATACCTGTCAGATTGGCTAAAGTCAAAAACCCAAGAAATAACAAGTGTTGACGAGGATGTGAAGAAAAAGGAACATTCATGTACCGTTGGTGGGAATGCAAGCTGGTGCAGCCACCCTGGAAGACACTATGGAGTTTCCTCAAAATATTAAAAATGGAATTATCTTATGAGCCAGTAATTCCACTACTGGGTATTTACCCAAAGATTATGAAAACACTAACTCGGAAAGACATATGCAACCCTATGTTTATTGCAGCATTATTTACAACAGCCAAATTATGGAAGCAGTCCATCGATAGATGAATGGATAAAGATGTCACACACACACACACACACACACACACACACACACACACACACTGGAGTATTACTCAGCCATGAAAAAGAATGAAATCTTGTCATTTGTGACAACATGGATGGATCTACAGAGCATAATGCTAAGTGAGATAAGTCAGAGAAAGACAAATACTATATGATCTCACTCATATGTGGGATTTAAGGAACAAATGAACAAAGGAAAAAAGAGACAAACCAAAAACCAGATTCTTTTTTTTTTTGAAAGATTTTATTTATTTATTTGACAGAGAGAGAGACAGTGAGAGAGGGAACACAAGCAGGGGGAGTGGGAGAGGGAGAAGCAGACTTCCCGCCAAGCAGGGAGGCCAATGCGGGGCTCGATCCCAGGACCCTGGGATCATGACCTGAGCCGAAGGCAGACACTTAACCGACTGAGCCACCCAGGCGCCCCAAAAACCAGATTCTTAACCGCAAAGAACAAACTGATGGTAGCCAGAGGGGAGGTTGGTGGGGGGATGGGTAAAAAAGGTGCAGGAGATTAGGAGTACACTTATGATGAGCACTGAGTAATATATGGAACTGTTGAAATCACTATATTATACACCTGAAACTAATATAACACTGTATGTTAACTATACCATAACTTTTTAAAAAAATTATAAAGTAAAATAAAATAAAAATGAAATCTAAAACTGCAAAAAAATACAAGGGATTCCTGATTGAGAGCAGGAAAAAGATAAGACAGAATTGGAGTAGTGATTCTCTGAGTGTATATTTTAATATAAATTTGTTGAGACTCATATTTTATATGTGCATAACAAAATTCTTAAAATGAAAAAAATAAAAGCTGAACCAATGATTTAAAAAATAAATAATGAGTTACATTTTCACTCAGAAACTCAGACAACTTGCCCATGATCACCAGGCCCTGGTGGACAGAAAGATAGGATTTGTCCTTCCTGAGACTGGAGCTTTTTCCTCTAATCACTGCACCAGCTTCACTTCTTAGTGCTAATTAAGCATCACACAACTCGACTCAAACTGCAACTTCTCTATAAGTTATGCTGTGCTCACCACAAATGTAACTACCGTCTGTCATCATGCAGTGCTGTTCCATATCCTGGACTGTATTCCCTTGGCTAGTGGTGGCCTCAGAAGCATAAGGCTCAAGACCTGATGCAAAGTGGGGGATAAAATTGAACCTAAAGGCCAAGGTTGGGCAATATCCAACCTATTAATCAGAAAAAAAATTACTTAACAGAGTTTTGGGGGTTTTTTTCCCTCCCCCTATTACCTAGGAACTTTCAGTAGGGCAGGTTTTAGGCTACTTGCTCCAACTAATGGATACAAAATTTGAAGAAATTGGTGACAGTAACTGGCTAAAATAATTATTTACAAATAAAATTCACCAAGCTGATCTGATACAAACTTTAAACTTTAATGGAATCTAAAACACAACCTCTTTCCAATGTTGGATTTCCTAAATCTTAGCTTGGACCAAAGCTCAAATCGCCACGGACCGTTTTGGCTAACCCAACCAAGAACTAAAATTGTTAGTTAAAACTTTAGGGCTGATGAGCTTTCCAGGGCAAAGGCTGAAATGCTAAAGCCTAGGTCTGAATGCAGCGCTGACGTGAAAACAAGCATTCCTTCCATTGCCACACAGAAAAGGTGTTTGCTAAATGTTTCAAATTACCTAATGTGATAAAATGGCAGTCAAGATGGATGGCTTAATGGGCCATTTTGCGAAATTCAATTTCCAGCATGTGCCAAGCCCACACAGATCCAGTATCCTATGGAATTCGTACACTAGGGACTAGGCATCCCTACCCCAATGCCACCTCCCCACTGAAGCAGCAGCTCAAGCCTTTCACTGAACAAAAACCCTAGACCTCAGCTCTTATTCTCCATAGGGCCTTAACCTTCCAGCTGGCTTGTGTCTGTTCACGCCTCAAACACCCAGATGGGATTCTCCTTCTCATCTTCTCCCCATGGTAACCAATATGGCAGGTTTCAAGTAAAACACCACATAAGTCAGAGCCCCTTAAATGCTTCTACTTCTAATCCTTCATTGATGGAAACTCCATTGCTTTGTATGCTACAATCTTGCGTGGTGACCAAAAATTACAAACAAGAATTCCCTAATATTCTAAATAAAGTTTTCATAATTTCTGTGGTTTAGCAACCAGCCATTCCCAAGAAAAAGGTTAACAAAAAAAAAATGAACGTCCATTGGAATGTAAATTCCATGAAACCAACAACTAGACAAGTGTAGACACAGAATTTGAAAATACTTGTCAGGGGCACCTGGGTGGCTCAGTTGGTTAAGCGACTGCCCTTCGGCTCAGGTCATGATCCTGGAGTCCCGGGATCAAGTCCCACGTCAGGCTTCCTGCTCAGCAGGGAGTCTGCTTCTCCCTCTGACCCTCCTCCCTCTCATGCTCTCTGTCTCTCATTCTCTCTCTCGCAAATAAATAAAATCTTAAAAAAAAAAAAAAATACTTGTCAAATAAACAAGGGGAGGGCGGTATTATTTTCTTTAGGTTTCTGGCCTCACTTTACTGTACATTTATTTCCCCCTTTATCCCAAATGCATTACCCTTTTTAAAAATTTCATTCTTAAGATGTGCATACACATAGACACCGGAATATTACACAGCCATGTAAAAGGATGAGATCTTGACATTTGGGATGACATGGATGGACCTAGAGGGTATTATGCTGAGAAATAAGTCAGGGAAAGACAAACACCATATGATTTCATCTGTATGTGGAATCTAAAAAACAGATGAGTAAACAAAAAGCAGAATCAGACCTATAAATAGAGTAAACTAATGATTGCCAAAGTGAGAAAGAATGAGCAAAATGGGTGAAAGGGAGTGGGAGAGGCAGGCTTCCAGCTATGAAATGAGTAAGTCACAGAATAAAAGGTACAGCACAGGGAATACAGTCCAGGATATGGAACAGCACTGCCTGATGACAGACGGTAGTTACATTTGTGGTGAGCACAGCATAACTTATAGAGAAGTTGCAGGGCGCCTTGGTGGCGCAGTTGTTAAGCGTCTGCCTTCGGCTCAGGTCATGCATGATCCCAGGGTCCTGGGATCGAGCCCCGCATCGGGCTCCCTGCTCCGCGGGAAGCCTGCTTCTCCCTCTCCCACTCCCCCTGCTTGTGTTCCCTCTCTCGCTGTGTTCCTGTCAAATAAATAAAATCTTTAAAAAAAGAAATTTTATAGAGAAGTTGAATCACCATGTTGTACATCTGAAACTAATGTAACATTGTGTAACTATACTTTAAAAAGTTTTTTTTAAATTTCATTCTTAGCCATTTCAAACCCTTCTGGAAATGGAGAATTTTCATGCTTTCCTATAGCCTGTTCGCTTAATAATAGCCAAATCTAAAATTCTTCATTAAAAGTATTACAAGGGCAAGAGGGAGCTGATGGAAAATACCAGGAGTCCTCACAGCTCATCTTTCTCCCACCCACCACAGCATCCAAGTCTACTTTGTAGGGACTGGTTTACTGGTCTGTGACAGAACAGAACCAACTCTAGGAAACCAACCTGGGGAGTGTGTCCAATAAACTTCTTGGGAGGTCCAGAGGACTACCAACCAACCTGGCCACATAAAATAGTCTGTGAAACATGCTATACAATTCAAGGACACCAACAAGGCTCACTATACCACGGTCCTGCAAATGTTCCCTTTTATTTCCTTCTAAATCAAAGGCAAGTCGAGAACAATGTAGGATGGCAGGGAGAAAAAAAAAAAAACTTTAGGGTCAGACATGGAGAGAAATTACGACCTTTGACAAATTATTTAAGCTAATTTGTCTACTATAAATTACTGGTGTATGTCCATGCTCTTTTTCCCGGTATCAGTGCATTTCCAGCTTAACATTAACCATTAACCTCAAGAATGCCTACTAAAAAGAATCTGATATAACCCTAAGGACAAGTTGACCCATTACTCCCCAAAAGTACTACTTCACTTGATTATGATATACTCAAAGGTAGGAGTTTGAGCTAATTCCCCTCAAGCTGTCCAGTTGCTGGAGAATGCACGTTAAGGGTTAGATCAAAGTTTAAGGAACGAGTGATGTGCTAATGTCCTCTGGTCTGGTCTGGCTTCACAGTCTTACTGCAGCGGCCATAAAACATCTGCCAGCATATGATTTTACTTGGGGGGCAAAAAAAAAAAAAGTGAAAATTCAGCAATCTGTTTTAAAGGTTTCCTGTTAAAGGAAGTACAGACTGGTCAGAACTTGCTGCTAAAAGGAACAGTAAGACTACTACTGGGAATCAAGGAAACCACCTTGAGCCCAATCTACAATTTTAAATAGGGCCCAGTAATGGAAATGATGAAATGTGGACTCCCCCTCAATGGAAATGGCTGAGGCGGTCATGGGTAATAATGGACTAGATGTTTCATTAGGTTCCTTCTAACTTTGAGATCTTATGAACATATTTTTAAAGTTAAAAAAAAAATACCTCGTGATGTATGTGTGTGTGTGTGTGTGTGTTATATCCATCCACCCAACAGTTTTGGCAGATGGCAAAAATCATACTTGCAAAATTACCAAGAATTTTCATTGTCAAGAAACTAAAGTGCCCACATCTGGGTCACTTTACAAGACAAAGGCCACAATGATATAGTAGTTTCCTTAAAAGACATCTGACGAATAACATAATTCTCATATAACCTAGGAGTTAAAAAAATTTTTAGGCAAAATCTCTATCTTTAAAATCAGTATTAGAGTGTCAAAAATTCTAGTGGACCATCAAGGAGACCACACAAAAAACAGCTTAACTGAATGACAGCAGCCTAAGCTTCTAGCAGTGATAGGTGAAAAATACACAAATTACATTAATTATGACTAAGATCACTAATAACCCGTAAACCAATACTTACTACAGCTAATGCTTCTTCTTGAGATTGTCAAACTTAACTCAAGATTTTGAGGCTGCTGTCTAGAAGAAACAGGCTTTCTATAGAAACTGTAGTCATATTTTCTAAATAAAACAATTTTACTGAACCAAATTAGGGTGAATTATGAGTGTTTTTAATAATCTGTAAAAATAATGACTGTACAGTTGGGAAGTGTGTCCTATTTGCAAATAATACGTCCTGAGCATTCATTCCATGAACTTAAGGATAAAAATGGGAATGGGAAGCAAGTCTAAATTAAAGAGATGTAGTAGTCTAACAGTGCAGTGAGGCTCCTTCTATTAGTCTTGGCACAGTGTCCAGGCACTGTCGGTTCTCTGCTGGGGGTGGCTTTCTTGGCTGTGAAGGCAGATCATGCCCTCTGTCACTCATGGAGAGCAGTTCTGCCCAACTGTCTCTTTTCAACAACTTTATCATCAATCTCTTTATTAACAGCTCCACTGCAGTCAGAAAACGCAAACAAGGACCAATTCTCATGCCAGATTTCTGGAAATCACATAGCACCAGGCACCACACAGTGTGAAAGTTTGTAAGGAGGGTGTTGTGCCAGGAGAGAGACAGCATCCACAAGGAACAAGCACAAAGTTGGGACATTTTGCATTATTACAGGAAAATACATATACCTACTTTCTTATGCCTAAAATTTGAAAAGAACCCAAATATCCACATATGTGTGTATATATGGGGATTCAGAGGGGAACAGCAGTGGCACGAGATCATTTTACTCCCCAGAAATAACTGCTATTTTGCATTTCCATAAGTCTTCTTAAAGCAAAAATTGTATTATACCAAAAAAAAAAAAAATTTAACGATTTTAGGACTATACGACATTATTAGAAAACACACAAGACTGAGAGAACTGTCTGCAAGGAGCTGTAAGAAACCCATAAAACTAAAATTCTTGAATTATTCAAAATACATATTTTCAGATCGAAATCTGTTGAATCAGAAAATAGCATCTTACAAATTAATTAAATGAAACACTTCTAAAAGGCTTACAGTCTTTTTAAGAAACTTGGGCTTCCTTTTTTTTTTTTTTTTTAAATCAGGTCATAATCACCTAATATGAAATTAAAAGCATCCAAGTTAGGTGAAAACAGAGTATATAGTCTGGATACTTCCAAATATTGAGATGCGTGAGACTCACACTAGGTGATACTTTATCATTTTCACTATTAATTATATTACACTCAGCCTGAGACTTAAACTTAATGGTTTTCCCTCTAATCTGTTTATATTTCTATCCATTGATGCAATGGTTTGAAAAATATTCAACTATAGGTAAAGCAAATTTTATAAAATGTACTGAAGACTATGATAGTATGTAACTGAACTTACACTGTTCCAAATAATGTATTTTTGCTGTAGTATGTCTCAGGTCACTGGTCTTACGGCTGCAAGGTCTGTGCTCAGGTGGAAAAAAGCAACTCTGCTGCTAAGATTGTCAGTGGCAAGTTCAAGCACAGGTTTAATCAGCTGTGGGGGTTCCTAGACCCTCACCATTTATTCCATGTTGTAAATCAAAATCCACATGCCCTTAGGCTTTCCCTGGTCAATTCTGGCACCTAAGGAAGAGGGAGGGTTGAGGGTGTAGCATAAATCCATTCTCACCAGTAAAAAACAAACAACACATACTAAACAAAACTCTAAGCTGGCTGGCAAGGAGGAAACTATTTTTGATTTAAGGGATTATCCTGTACCTTAGAAATATCACAGCAAAAAATATAAAGCTTTGATGAAAGCACACAACAGACTACTTCTATTTTTCATTTCGAAAGAGGATCCATTTCCCATCCTACCAGTGCAATTTAAAGATACCCAAAACAGAAGGAAAGTGAATGCACTGTCTTATTTAAAGTATACTTTCAAAGTTAACATTTTAAACAGTTGGTGGTTAAGCTATAAAATCTAAACAATACTCTGCCCTTTGTAGATATGATTTTTAGCTATCTGTAAATGTGAATCATTTTTTAAAAAGGTAATTGCAGGAAGAAAGCATAATAACTGAAATCACCACCTTTCACACAAACCTGAGCTTTCTGAAATGTGAACTTGAGCACAGCCTTCATTCTACCCTTTTGAGGAAAGGTCTGTGAATTGGGAGATGAGGAAAGAAAAAAAATGCACTTAAAATTCCATCCCGTTCAGCAAAATCCAGGTATGATTGATCACTGATCAGCTACAATGATGTTCGCAGAACACTGAGACAGAAGTATGTCTCTGAGGAAGAGAAGCAGAAGTTGAAATGACTTCCCAAGTATATGAAATCAGTTCTAGGATGAAGTATACGCAACCACTTCTAAAATACATGGCTCAGAAATACTGATGCTATCTTTCCTGCTGCCAATAAAGCTACGTAAGATGTCACAAGGATGTTTAAACTGGTAAGTATAGAGAAAGGATGAATAAATTGATTACACATATATAAAAAACAAACACCACACGGAATTAAACAGACCACTTGTCGCTGTATGACTGAAAGTCATGTTTATTAGAGAACACACTTAATATTTCATGTACCAACAAGTTCAGCTCTTAAGACAGCACCCATTTGTGATTCTGGTTTGGAAAAAAAAAAAAACTAACAGTAAAGGAATAAAGCAGAGAATTAAAAAGAATACCAAAACATACAATTCAGGCTAAAAGCAACTAATTTTCCTTGTGCTGTTCTTTTATTAGAATTAAAATAGGCAAAAGTATATCCAAAGGATTATTCAATGCCTTTTTAGATAAACAGTTTCTCTTTTTGCTTAAATGCATTTAAGTGCACGAACAGTTAGCATTCCCAGGGCTTGGTCTACAAGCTTATGTATGTTAATGATTTACCCTTTCATACATCAATTACTACTTGGAGCTGCTGATCACTTATTGCCACCTTGAGTGCAGCCAGAATTAATACTACGCAGAGCTCTAAAACATTTTTCTGTGTGGAGAAAAAAAACAGAGGTGTTAATTAGAAAAATACAAACTTTATTCCAGAATATACCCAGAGCCACAAAACACACCTTTTACTTTTTTTACTAATTCAGCAAGATGCATGAAAAGCCAAAAGACCATGTGGGTGATCAAAGTCAGAAAGTGGGCTATTCAGTCCCATGTTTAGGTGTCTATCGAGGTAGAGGAAGTCCCGCAAGTTCAACTCTGTAGGTGTGAACAGTGGAGCAAAGGGTAATTTGTACAGTATCTTCCCTTTTCCTAATACTCCCAAAAGCTTAATGAAAAGTCATCCCATGTTGCAGTCATATATTGTTTTATATATAATAAAGGTATTAGAATTTGGAATTTCAGGAACGAAACACACAAGACTGCATGTCCATTAGAATAATGACTTTAACATCAGGAGGTCCATCCCTCCACTCAAGGCACTTAAGATAGCCATACTCAGGAGCTGGCCATTACAAACATACAAAGCAGTTCCCTCCTAACCCATGAGTTTAGTATGCAATGCTGAGCATCTGGGGGTTTAAGAAAAGCAGTATCTGATTTGGGTTTGGTAAAATGAGAAAGAGAAGATCGTAGCCGGTTTGTGGTCTATAATCCTAAACTCACTGAAAAACAACAGTGCCACCTGCTGACATAGAAATAATTGAAAACCAAAAGCTTTGAAAAGGAAACGAATCAGCAGTACACTGTCTACGTGCATGAAACAAATATACAGAAAAGGCATATAGTCTACATACACAAAATAAATACTGTAGACAATGGGACAGCTGAGAGTGAATTATTAGTAACTACATTCATGTTTTCCTCCCAAATGATCATTTATATGAAAAATAGTGATCACAGAAGGTATCAGTTATACTAGGCTGCCACTAACAGCATAAATTAACCAGAAGCAAATCTTTTCTAAATGTAAGCAAAGTAAATTCTTTTGCAAATCTTCACTTATGGCCATACCATAAACTTAAAAGTAGAACCGATTTATCACTGAAAAAACAAGAGAAATAAAGTCAGTCAAAAGAAACCAGCCAACTGTGGGATTGTGCTGTTTTTTTTTTTATTGTGTTTTCAATGGAGAAATACATCATCTGTTTACAAAATAGCTCTTGAAAAATACAAGGAGTACAGATACTATAAAACAAAGCAAACTCCAGTCATGAGACACTACATACATCATGCGAAAGCAACAGTCTGATCTCCAGGTTATGAAAACTAGAATTAAAAAGTCACTACACAGAAAAGGTCCAAGTTTCCAGCTTGGCAAAACTTGGGTGCAGTTACATGAAACGTTTAATAAACTGAATTTTTTTTTTCCCCAATGTGTAAACAAAATGACAAGACTAAATCTGTGCCTGGCAATTTCAATCTAACTCTGAAGCTACACAAAACACACAGACACCTTGTACACTTCACCTGTTAGCATGACCATCTTTTTTTCTTAGGTGGTGGGAGGAAGGGCAAGGTGAGTGTGCGGAGCGAAGATGTGGGAAGCAGAAACACTGTCTACTAGACATCATAAGGTACGGTGAAAAGAAAGCCTCAATTAATGCATAGCCTAAGGGGAAAGACTACACTCCAACTTTGGAAAATTAATTTAGAAGGACAGGGGAAGAGTTTAAGTAACTGCAGTTTAACATGAAAAATGCACATGTGATAAGAATGGAGCACAATGAAAGATTCATAAACATGCTCATCAGAAAATCTGTTAGGTCTGCTTTGTCCAGATTAGGAAAGAATAACTAAGTTTATCAACATCTGGCACCCCTCATACTTCGTGAAGATGGATGCTCTGCTGCTTAATTATGAGGACTTCTTTTCTTTGCAGAAAGGAGTTCCTAACCGATTGATCGGATAAAACAAAATGAAAAAGGAGTAGAGAGCTGACTAGATGCCAAGTGCTTGCTAGAAATGATTTTTAAAATGTTTCTACATGTAAAATTTACTGACAAATTTTGGTCAACCATTTAAAAATAAAAATTAGTTTAAAATTCTTGGAGAAAATGCCTTTTTGCCCACGTTTAAAATTGAAAATCAACTTTACTACAGAGAGGAGTTCTGTGGAGTGTACAAAATTCCGCATGTCCAGAGATCAAATGGCCATCCCGGATAGGGCATCATGCATTTTTCTTTTAGTCACCCTAAAGTTTCAGCCACAGGACCAAAATTTAGTGTCCTGTGCCACATGGCCACAGGATCACTGGTTTCACATCATGGCTTAAGAAAATACTGGCATTTTGTTTCTTATGAAATTAAGTTCTACCTTATGCATACAAGCAAAAAGGGAAAAAGAAAAGGGGGAGGGAGCAAAAAGCTTTGTTTCAAAGACAACAGATTGAAGGCAAAAGAATATGGAGCTTTAATAAGCTCAAAGAAAAATATTTGCTGGCTGATCGCTGATTTGTATGCATTCTAAACAATTCTATAAATAAAACCAATGTATCATTTCTTAATCATGACCCCATCAAAACCAACTATTTCCTAATTATTCTTTCAATGTCAAATATATACCCTTAGAGTTGACATTTCATTTTTAAGGGTTGCAGCTACCGCACAGGGACTGAACTAGATGTCCTCTCATCCTTTCTCTGAAGTAGAACAGTACGCCACCGCACAATGGTATCCAATTTGAAGACTAATGGTAAAGGAAATTTTTCAGGAAAAAATGAAAATCCATCAAGCTGAAAATCTAAAATTAGTTCTACTTTCTAATAAAAAAATACATAAAAGTGCATCATCGAACAAGGAATTCTTATGCCAGTTTGTATTGCAAATTTTCCAAACAATGCATCAAACATAAACCCAATCCAGATGTCAATTATGGATACAAATATAGCTTGAGGTTTTTTTTTTTTTTTTTTTTAAAGGCAGTAATTTTTTGAAATAGTTAATGCAACTGTTGCTAACACAATAATAATAGTACTCCTGGCTTCACATACTAACCTGGACTTCCGATCAAGTGCTGATTAGCCCAGTAAGGGAGGTCACAAAAAAAACCTAAATCCATTTTCAGTCATGTCTAGTCTTGTACCCTCCATTCTCCTTTTTTAGCATTTGAAGACAACAGGTTGAGTTGGCAGATATTGTTTATGGACCCCTGAGGTTGTTTTTACCGATTCAATCTCAGTTTTATTGAATTCTTGATAACAGGAATAGGATTTGCAGGGAGAGCAGGGATATCAGAAAGGTCTGTACTGGATGTTTTCTGAGAACGAAAGCAAAGAACACAACATTGTTCAAAGCACTGTAACTTAAAAATGAGATTTACTTTCCACTGCTTTACTTGCTAAGAAATGGATGGGACCTTACCACAGAAGTATTAAAAATTTAAAGAGAAACAAGAATGAAGTGCAAATAAACATGACTATTACTATAAAACTATCTGTTCTACACTTGTAATTTTCAAATAATAAAATATGAATGTTTTAGCAATACACAGAAAACTCCTAAGTAATTTTAAAATACAACTTTCATAGACACACTCAGCTCTAAGAATGACCTGTCATATAATTATTAAAGTCATGTTAAACTGTATTTACTTGTAGTAACACTAACAGCTGTGATGGTAACTGGTGCTGGAGCGCCCCCGTGTGGGAGAACACACACAGGAGCGGCAGTTACCAGGACATTATTTTCTGACCTCTATATATTATAAAATTAAATCTATACAACTCAGCAATCATTTAGTTATTCTAAATTTTAGGAAAACTTCATGTTAAAAAAGTTTAAATACAAGGCTTCTTTAACATTCAAAAACAGAGAGAGAAATTTTTAAATGTTTTATTATGGGAAATTCCAAGCATCCACACAAGTAGAGCACATTCTATGATGAATCCCATGTAGCCATTACCGAGCTTCGCCAGCGGCCCAACCAGAACCATCCACCGTCCCCCCACCTTCACTCCCAAGCTTACTCTGAAGCAAATCCCAGAGATGCTACCATTTTGTCTGTAAGTATCTCAAGTTATCTCAAAACAATAAGGATTCTTTATTACACACAGCCACAATATTATAATCATCTCCCCAGAAAGAAATATACCTGTTGTATCTCCAAATATAGGGATTTTTTTTTTTTTGTAATCAACATCATCACTCTTTTTATTAACTGGGTGATTTTTCTCTCAGTGGCTCTACAAATCTTTACATTAGAAATTAAGTTCTACCTCCCCATAAAAATACAAAAAGGCAAATACCCACAAGTACTCATCACCATAGGGATGAACTTAATAAAAGAGAAAACTAGAGAACAGTCCCCCAGAGTAATGTGGCAGGCCAAAAGACACGCAGTCATATCACAGGAGCTCAAGACCGACAGACTACTTTGTCCATGTATCAATGCCAAGCACATTTCCTCATGTTGCTTTAGTTACTTCCTCCACCCCAAATTTTTATTAGATAAGTTCTGGAATAAATGACATTCCAGAAATTCAACATGATATTTCTCTCTTTAGAGGTTATGAGGGTTAACAGTTAGCAAAAACACATCTTAAAATTATTACATTAAAATGACTCTGAGCCACAAAGCAGCAAAATATCACTGCCTCAGTTCAGCAGCCTCACTGTGAGCATCAATGATCTCAGTGGTCTTGCAGAGGGGTCACCAGTTCAACATCTACTTAAAGAAAATATTTACTTTGTGTCAGAATATGACCTAGACTTTGAAGTATATTCAATTTTTGAAAGGGTTCAAAAAGAAAATCATTGTTTCACAAAAATGAAGGGTTCACAAATCAGTATTAAAAAAAAAAAAAGAAAAAGAAAGAAAGAAAAGATTCTAGGTGCCTACTGTATGTAAGAAGGGACTATAACAATTTCTAGGACAAATGAAAAATAATTTGAGAGAATTACGGGTTACATTAAATTAACAATTGAAAATCAGAAGTAAAATGTGAGACAAACACATTTTAAAAAGAAAAAAATCATTTTAACCTCACAAAAAGATCCACAAAGATGTTTTTTAGTTCTGTCATGATTTAAAATTCACTCACTCTTTGATCTGTAGAGAAAACCTTTGTATGAATACTGCATATTATGACTAGTGAGGATTTAAATAATTTGCAATATCAAATAATATATAAGGGGATGAGTTAGCATCTTGACAGTGCAAAACAATGGTTCTATCAAATCTGAAGCTCTACCTTTAAACTACAATATACACATTGATAGGCTAGCGAGTAACTACTGTTACAGAGAGGATTTTAATAGTCTTCTTGTATATGCTCATTTTAATTCATTACACCACACTAATCTTAACAACATTTACAAACTCTCCTTGCTTTTTGCACTTAGTACCTGAGAGGCCAACAGAGAAGCCGCTGTGTGAATAGTTTCTGATTGAGTTGTACTTGTCTCTGTATCAAGTTGTTCCTGTGAGACAAAGAGGACGGGGGAGGAAAGAGACTTAAAAAAAAGAATAAAAGAACATGACTGGGTTTGGTGGCTAATAAAGAAGACAACTTGGAAGACAGGAGGATCAAGAGAAAGATGGGACCACATCACAAAATCATGTAGTGAGCCTGGCCGCAGGCCACCAAGCCCTTGTCACATACACATACGTTTCTATTTATCTACTTCATATTTATGGGCATGGTCAGAGTATCTCCTGACTTTCCAGCTACTTCCAACTTGGACATTTGGAGCAAATAATAATTAAAGACACGCACAGGCACATTACGAAATGTTGCCCAGACAATAATTAACACACTACAGACCTAAGCCCTAGCTATGTGAAAAAAACAAAACCCAGTTAATATTATTAAATAAAATTACCTTTTCCAAAGAATAAAAGCTGTTCCCACACCTTCGATTAAAAGTAGAAAAAAAGTCCCTAAAACATTCCTTTTTTTTTTGGTTTCTCCTCCCCTCCTCAATAATCAATGCAGGGATCTATTATAAATATTATGAGAAAATACCAGGAGAACCATGTCATGCCACTGCTCTCAACGTTTTTAAAGCTGTGCACAAAACAGAATACTACATATATACACAAATGAAAATAAATATGTAAAAACCTGAATTTCTATAAAACATATACAGTAATAAAACAATGAAATGTCAATTTTCTCTTATGAAACAGAACGGGGTAAACAGGATGCAGGTAACAGAAATGGAAGTTCAGGCTTTCTGAAGCACAAACTGGGAGTTATGCATCGAGTTTTAAAAGTAAGCATACTATTTGCCTCAGTAACTCCTCTTTCATTAATTTATTCTAATAAATATAAATGGATGGCAGGTATTTACCTATAGTCAATACTATAGTAAGAAAGAACTTTCTTTTTTTAATAGAAACAACTGCTAACAACTGGGAACTGGTTGAATAAAATAGGGTTACAGCCTTAAGATAGCTTATTAATATTTTGTAAATTATATAATCACAGGAATAATTTTTCCTGGTTTACAGAGTGAATAAAGATTTGAAAGCAAAGGCACTGGTATGTATGTATGCCCAAATAAAATCTATAGGCATCAAAAGAATACTTGCTCAAATGTCGATTATGGGAATAATTTTGGAAGAGGATTTCCAAATTTTCTACCTTAAATAAGAGGAAAAAGTTAAAAGCCTTCAGTACATTTCAATTTTTGAAAAAATGATGTTTGGACTCTAATACGGTTTGGCTAAACCACTCTCTTTCATCTCATCTACCTCATCTCAAGCCCCATGCACCCCAGAAGGCTCTTGCCAGAACCTTCTGCCAAAAACTGATTCTCAAAACATACCATACGCCCACCCAAAGAGTAAGATGACCTTCTTATCTTGGACTGCCCCAAATCCTACATATCCTTCAAGGACTACGTCAAATACGACATGGTCTTTCTACAAAGCCTCTTACTGTTTCTTCAGTCAGAAATAACATCCCACTGCTCCTGCCCCTCACCACCCCAGCAGCCTCAATTACTTTGATCTTCTGTGATAATATAATTAGTTGCTTCTACCTCTTATCTTCTCTACTTAATTTTAAGTTCTTTTAAAGGCACACAACATGCCTCACTCATCACTTTATTCCGTTCAGTGTCCACCCAGATTATCACCTTGCATTTAGTAGGACCTCAAACATTTGAGAAATTCACTTTCAGCATTATAAATTAACATTCAAAAGGGACGAACACTTCTCTAAAAACAATACTGAACTACCTAAAACCTATAGAACAAAAGACAGTACAATATTCTAGAGACATTTCTATCACATCTTCTGTACTCTTAATTGTGTATGTATTCCAAGGCTAAATTAGTATACCTTTGTTTCTGTTTTATCATGTCCACTCAAAGCAAGACAGTTAGCATCTTCGCTTGTTTCATCCTGTTTTTGAAAAAAAAAGCTTTATTCTCTAAAATGAAAAATTTAGATTATTTGCCAATCAATGCTTTAATTGATAAAAATTTTTTAAATTATAAAATAATTTAACCTGTAAGATCAACTATAGCCTTAAAGTAGATCATTCATTCATTTGAAAAAAAATTTTTAATGTAACATATTTAATTTGGCTTCAGTATCTTCCAAACAAAGAATATGAAGAAAGCTGTTACTGTTGATCAACACCACCTAAATCACATTCCTAAAACCACTAAGTTCATAAAATATTTTTTGTAAGGAAGAGAAAAAAAGAGTTCATTGATCAAACAATTTAGAAACTTGGAATCCTATCGATAGACCCCCATTCTGGGAAATTCACATACACATTAGCACTTTTTATAAAAGGTTCTGAGAAGTTCTATAAAGAATACCTCTTTGACTTTCCCAAACAACTAACCACAGAATCCCCCCACTTAGTAAACTTAGTAACATCCTGAGGAACTGGAGGTTTGAGAAATGCTCTCTTCCAGTCTTAATTTTTTAATTTATTATAATTATATTCAAAAACAATTCATTTTCGGTAAAGAAAGCAAAAGAGAAGCCAAAGATGGCTGTACTTTCCCATTCCTGCAGTGACTTGCAATTAACATCCCTTTAAGAAAAACTATTTTAACCCTAATTTCTCTGCTGTATTTACTAGGGAAAATTATAATTTTAAATGTAGCTTTATAACAAGACATAGAAACCATGTTTCTATGAGTAGAAGAGATTTAACAGTAATATAAACCAATTCTAATAAGGACCTTATTTGTATCCTGCAAACGTTACAAACTTCAAAAACAGTAATGATAACAGGGCAAATATCAAACCTGACTGGATATGAAATTATTGCTAATACTGGTAAATATACTGATATACACACACACACATATATATATAAATACACACACACATATATGGTGATAATATACTATAGTTGTGTTTCCAGAAATCTTTATCTTTAGATACACACAGAAATATTTATGGCTGAAATGATACGCCTGGGATTTGCTTCATAACAAGGGGAAAGGAAGTAGATGTGTAGATGAAGTAGGCTGGCCGTGAGCTGTTAACTGCGGAAGCTAAGTGATGCAAACAGGACTGTTCATTAGAATTTTGTACATGTTTGAAATTTTCCATAAGAAAAAGTTTAAAAATAGATATATAGCATCATTTAAGCATACAATCCAGGGCAAACATTTGTCTATTTTTATTTTACACCTTCGCATATGATGCAAATTAAGCAGCAATATACCTCCTGACCACCCCTGAACCCCTCTCCTGTCTATACACATGTTAGTGCATGATTAATTAAGACCAGTATTTCTTTCTGGTTTATTAAAATTTCTAATAACAAGTACTCATTAACAGAGAATAAAAGATCCGGTTTAGGAGAGCTCCAAAATGATGATATTCATAACAATCTTCTCCTTTAGCACCATGAGATTTAGGCCTGGGTTCTATTCCTGACTCTGACTTTAATTAGCTTTATAAATGGAAAACCACTGAAACTCAAGGTCCTCCTTCTGGGAAATGAGATCAGCCTGTAAGATACCTAAGATCCTCAGGTCTCTTCTATATCATAAAATTGTTTTTTGTTAGTCAACTCCATGAAGCCGCCATAAACAAAACCCAGACTGTGAGAAAACATTAAAGAACAAAACAAAACAAAACAAAACAAAAATTGCAAGGAAAAAAGGAAGGATTAAACCATTAACAGAAGTAAACAGAATGAATAGGCATCTCCAGTTATGCTTACATATACTTACTGAGATAAAAAGAAATGTGAATTCTGCAATGCTCTGCCAACTCCAAACAAGTATCAATAGACACAATGTGGAGTTCCACCAAAATCAGCACATTTTTAGGTTGCTGCACAACAGAGTCGTGCAGCACTGGGGGGTTTGAAAAAAAGATTCCCAGGCCTAACTTCTGGAGTCTCTGATTCAGTGTATCTGGAGGAGGCCGTAAAATCTCTATTGGGGGTGGGGGGAATCACTCTGAAAAATTCTGATGTACAAGCAAGGCAGAAAATCATTGCCTTAAGAAATAACTACGCAGACGGGTTTTCAGAACACATGTTATAAAGCATGATATGATATAATCATTCTTCATTCAGCATCATTAGAGTAACAAAATTCATCAAATTATTCATATTTAGTTAATAGTGACCGTATCCAAAAAAATCTAAACCCAAAGGCTTCAGAATAAGCTGGGGAATAGAACACTTACAAATTAGAGATAATAATATTTCACTATTACAGATCAAAACACTCCCATGAGAAAAATCCAGATTTTTTTTTTCCCTTTCTAAAGAAACTTTGGTGAAATGAGTAAACTCCTAAGTAACAAATTTTCAACCAAAAATCACAATGAAATTGGAGTTTTTGGACTGTCATCTCTGGGGCAACAACGACTGTTCCACTAACAGGAAAACAACATGAGAGTGATTCCAGGGAGCAATGAAATTGTGTAACAAGGCTACTTACTTCTGTTTTTTATTTTAAAACACACACCAAAATCAATGTACACTTTTAATGGTTTCCCTAAAACTGAGACTTAGGCAAGGTAAATTGGCCACTATAAAAAGTGAAAGTATTGCTAGAAAATTTCCTGAAGGGTTGGAGGAAGTAATCATTCAAGGTCTCAAAATTAATCTGACTTTGCAACTATGGCCAGTTATTCAGTAAGAGTTCCTTGAAAACCTCATATTCAGTAGCCCTGTAATAACAAATACAGTGTAAGAAACTCCAAAACTCCATTTGGATCACAGAACTGTGTCCAAAAGGGCTATCAAAGAATCAGTACACATAAAAGATACAGCTGTGAGAGAATAAGAAACTGGGATGACATACTAAACTGTGTTATAGACTAGACAAGCTAAGTTTAAATGAGGCACAGCTTTATGGAAGAGGTAGTCACTGAGAAGAGTACAAAGGGTGGAGAGAGACTACGGCCCTAAAGCACTACCTAAACTTTTTCTAAAAGCTTTCTTCCTTGCTGCTTCTCAATTCTGGCTCACAAAGATTTTCTTCTACTGGACTTTAAAATAGGCAGGCTGGTATTCCCAAGGCTAACTAATATATAGATACCTCTTCTGTTTTGGTTTTCTTAGGACTCTCTTCTTTATGAGGTGAGGATGTCCTCTTGACTCCTACTATAGGATTAGGTATTTTTGTTGCTGCATTTCCTGAAGGTCTAGGTGGTGGGTTTACCAGACGTGTTGAAGAAACAACTCTGGAGACCGTAGGCTTTGGTGGTGGTGAAATGGCTGGTTGTGTGGCAGTTTGAGGAATGCTTTCACTCGATGTACCTAAGTAGGTAAGTACATGAACACATAAAATTACAATAAATCCTGTCAAAAGAAAGTTACAAGGAAAGCTTTCAGTCTCTGAATTTTATTTTATTTCATTGATAATTATACAATAGCATTAAAAAACTGAATTTGAACCACTTAATCAATAAAGCCATCTTTCAAAATAAAGGCTAACACCAAATACGCTGTAAGGATTCTCAAGCCTGTCAACCCCATCTCCTTACCCCCTGAGCTTTCACTGGAATTTACTTGTGGCACAGAAACTTCAGTAGCCTGTATGTTGGTCACAGATGCTGCTGTTACAGCTGGAGCAGGACTGTTTCTGCTAAAAAAAAAAAAAAAAGAAAGAAAGAAAGAAAGAAAAAGAAAAAAAGAAAAAAGTGAAAAAGCAAACAGAAAAGTATAAAATAAAATTCCATAACAAAATTTAATATGGAAGTTATTTTCTAAAGGAAATGATTCTTTGGTTTTACTTCTATGTATATATTAGTAACTGACTTTATATGCTAAAACATAACCAACAACCCAAAGCACACACTCTAAAGCAGTGCCGTCCAACAAAACCCTCTGGAACAACGTCACATAGCTGTGCTATCCAGTATAGTAGTCACTATATAGACGCACCTACTCGGCTGGTGAGGAACTGAATATTTAACTTTATTTAATATTAATAAATTTAAATCACCACATGTGGCTAGTGACTAGCATATTTTTTTTTTAAGATTTTTATTTATTTATTGAGAGAGATAGTGATAGAGAGAGAGCATGAGAGGGGGAGAGTCAGAGGGAGAGGCAGACTCCCCACCGAGCAGGGAGCCCGATGCGGGACTCAATCCCGGGACTCCAGGATCATGACCTGAGCCGAAGGCAGTCGCTTAAACAACTGAGCCACCCAGGCGCCCCAAGTGACTAGCATATTAAACAGGACAGTTTTAAAAACAATCTGTATCTGATTTGGGGGAATAGACTTAATGGATTTGGGGTATAAGAAAATTCCATCAAAGGCTATAAATAAGAAAATGGTCTGAAAAATAGAAATAAGCTTCTGCATACAAAATCTAAGGATTTGTGACACCCTAAAAACCACCCAGTGGTCCAGATACACAACAAAGGCTTTCAAAGCCATCCCTCCTCTTCTATGTGCTGGATCCCACTCCCTCCTGTCATTTCAGGAAACTCAAATCATCCATCCTTTACTCTCCTATTTCTTCAACATTTCTGCCTCAGATAAATCCTATCGCAGTTAAATAATCTCATTTTAATTACCCCTTGAAAGAAAAATAAAAGCAAAAAGTCCTCTGTGGTTATTCTTGCTCCCTCGGCTATAGCTCACACTCTGCAACTGTGGAACAATGACGCCATGACAAGGTGGCGACACAAAAGGACTTAAGACTTTTGGTGCCTGCAAGACATTTGCATGCAACCAGGGCAATCAGCTTATTAAAGCTTTGGAGTTCACAGGGTGCCTGGGTGGCTCAGTCGATTAAGTGTCCGACACTTGGTTTCAGCTCAGGTCATGATCTCGGGGTCCTGGGATTGAGCCCCGTGTTGGGCTCTGTGCTCAGTACGGGGTCTGCTTGATTCTCTCTCTCCCTCTTCCTCTCGTGCTCTCCCAAATAAATAAATCTTTAAAAAAAATTTTTTTTAAAAAGAAAGAAAAAGCTTTGGAGTTCACTGGTACATAGAAGTAAATGAAGTCAACAAGGGTAGGTGATCCCACTCCCCCAAGGGAGAATACCAAGCGGGGACAAGTACCGTGGAGAGCGCCCTCAAGGGCACACACATCTAATGACTTAAACAGAAAGGGAGAGCGGGCCAGAGAACCACCACAGATGCAGGAAGAAAACCAGAAATAGCTGGCAAATGGCTAGTGCATAATAAATACTGAAAATTTGCTAAGCAAATATACAACTGTAAACTTAAAATCCGGAAGTCTTACTTACAGAAGTTATTTAGTATTACATAAGAAACTAACATTGTTTAAACTTCTGAAATTACTTAATACATAGTTAGTATTTTACATGCATGTGCATAAACTCAAAGTACAAAAGGCTTCTATACAAATCCCTTTGAAGATACCCTAGTATTTCCATTAAAAAAAAAAAAAAAAGATTCTGCAAGGATACACTGGAAAAATTTACAGAAGGTTAAACATAAATATGGCTTTTTGTGTTCTAGTTTTTGCCACTATAGCCATGTATTTCTTTCATAACAAAAATGTTTATCTGTGTTCAATGTTTTCAAAGACACTTAATTCTTAAAAAAAAAAAAAAAAAAAGTTTCCTATAACTAAGACCATCCCACAAAGACCTTCACCTTCCTTAGCAGGCCCCTTCTATGTCCACAGATTTGTTCCCCTGCTACACAGATGTAAGCGGCTCCGGGACAGAAAGGTGATTTTATCCCTCTTGTCCATTCTCCCTAGCACACCATACAGTTCACTGGAGGCAGCAGAAGCCTCAATACAGAGCTTTCTTAAAATGGGGTTACGTCCCATTAAACCCATCATAAACTGAAAATACCTTAAGTCGAAAATGCATTTAATACACATAATCACCAACATCACAGCTTAGCCTAGCCTCCTTCAAACATGCTTAGGACACTTACATTAGCCTACAGCTGGGCCAAATCACCTAACACAAAGCCTATTTCAACATAAAGTGTTGCCTATCTCATGTGATTTATCGAGTATTGTATTGAAAGTGAAAAACGGAAGGGCTGCATGGGAGCAGAATGGGTGTCGGCGTAGCGGCTGCTGACCTATGAGCGCAGGGCTGACGGGGCGCTTGCAGCTCGCTGTCGGGCACCGCAAGTGACTATTGTACGGTATCCTGTTAGCCCCAGAAAAGCTCAAAATTAAACGTCAAAGTATGGTTTTTACTGTGCACTGCTTTTGCACCACTGTAAAGTCAAAGAATCTTAAGTCAAACCACGTTAGTTAGGGACCTTCTGTATGTGAAATGAGGGATTACGGTGCTGACATTCATTCGCATCTGAATTAAGATACACCTGCCCCAAAAACGGAATACAAGTACGACACAATAGGACAAAAACAGAAATTATTTTCCCCCAAAATAAGTTTAATTGCTATTTTTAAAAAATTAAAAGGGGAATAAATATTCTAAATAGATGACTCTAACAAGAGAGTTCATCAAATACGTTTAGTGAACACCCACTCCACTTCATTCCCTCGCTTTCCTTACCCCTGAGAGCTGCCAGAACTGTTCAATGGACTGGTCTTCATAGCACTAGTAGGTGAAGGCACAGACATGCTGTTATCACTGTCCATAGACAAGTCGAGGCTGCTGTCATTCAGAGGCGTCAATCTGACACCTTCTGTTGAATGCTGCAATTAATAAGATATTTAGTCAAATATATCTTTATTTCACCCCGATCTTTGAAACATGAACATCTTTTACTTTGATATATGATTTCTACTACAAAGCATAAATCACTAAGTTCATGAAAACTCAGAAATGCCATGCTGACTTATAAGGTAAAGACTTCTAAGAGGCCTGACTACACTACAGTTCTTCCATGGGAGAAAAAAGGAGAAAGGAATGCTATATTAAATGTACACATTTTCCACAAGACACGCTGCACGCTAAAAAGCACTGTAATGTGAAAACACATGGATCTTAAATCAGATAACTATAAATATATACAGACACATACACACATATATATTAGGAAAAAAGTCTTAATGATAAACCCAATACTAGCAATGAATATATCTGGCTTTTGGGATTATGACCAATTTTTTTAAATCAATTTTTAATTATTCTACAGTGAACATAAAATTGTGTAATGTCAAAACAACTATCAAATAAGTACAGCGTAGTACCACTTCTAAAAATCTATAAATAAATGAGGCTCTCTCAAAACCAAGAATTTCTGGTGCTCTGACTGCCAACTTAGAATTTTAACATGGTACATCTAATAGTATAAATTACCCTGTGAAAATAGAAGCAGAAATAATTTCCTGAAAGTGAAATCTAATATCCACATGTAAATCCTAATGCTAGTCCTGCTTCTTAAAAATCAAAGCACTCAAAATGTTACTTAATATAGGAAAACCAAAATAAAGCTTAAACTACGAATGTTTCTATGGGATGAAAGTTGATTTCTAAAGAACTTAGTTTCTGTTTCTACAATCAATAGTATTGCAATATCAAATTGATTTCTTCAGGGTTTTTTTTCCAGAATACTTTTAGGCCTTGGTGCTCCACTTACCTACAGAAACATTTTAATGGAAATGACTGCATTGTTGACAAAAACCCATATCCCGTGTGTGTGTCTATGTGTGTGTACGCGCACGCGCGCGTGCTCTAGTTCCCCAAATGACAAGACATTTTTTATCTAGCACTACAGGCATTACTTCTGTACATAAATCAGTATTGATCAAATGGGGAAGATGAGATTTGGCAGGATGGAGAGGAAGAGAAAGTAATGCCACTTGTTTATGAAGTCAGTTGTGAAATGAATTTTCTAATGAGCTTCTTTCCTATGCAAAAATGCTACCAATTTCACTCTCCACCAGACAAGGATTTGTACAGTAACTAAATTTTACTAATTCTACACAGTTACCTGCCTGACCAGGTGATCAAACACCTGTGAGACAACAGGCCACTGCTAAGGATGATCTGTGAACCCGAAGGTTTTAACTAGCTGGTTTGAACACAAAACAGTTGCTCTGCTTTGCCTTTGTCTATATCAAGTTTGGCACAAGAGACTTCAATGCCAAGCCATCATAAATGTTTTATCCACATTTTCAAATTAAAGATAAATAAAGACAGAACATACTAGAGAGAGAAATAAACACATACGCTTTGCACTGAGACCTAGGTCCAATTCACATCTCCTACTATAAAACCATGGGCAAATTTATCAGCCACTTGGTTTCTTCTATAAAAGACAATATCTGTGGGTTGTTTTATCATTAAATATAGAAAAACATTCGTACAGGGCTTTGCAAATAGCAGTTAATAAAAGGAAGCTATTAATAAGAGTCTAAGAGAAAAGATTTATGGATCTAGATTTCTAGATACTACTACTAAAAACAAGAAAGTGCTATTTTACTAGCAGCAACTTAGAACTAGTCCAAATGATGTCAAATAAAGGACAGATATAATCATACTGTAGCCATTTAAAAAAATACTAAGCAGCCACATAGTATCTGTAATGTAATGTAATCTGGACACATAATAAACACCCAAAGAGCAGGTCACAAAAGTGTATGTACCATCAAAAACCTTTTAAAAATACATGTGATATGTGGTTACATATGGGCACCGAATAGTCTATGTAGAAACACACACTGAAAGGTGAAAAGTAGCGATTACACGGTGATGAGAGTACAGTTAAGCTTTATTTGATAAATAAAATGTCTGGACTAAAGTTATTTCTGAACACTAATAATTTTTATTTCTAGAAGATTATATTTAGATAGGTAATACCTTAATAGAATAAAAATAAAATTTATTTAAACTATACTTTGTTTCAAAAATCAACAATACCATATATATAGGAGTTTTAAAAGGTGATCTGAGGATCAAGGATTCTGGAAAATCTAATAACCTCAGTTATAAATAGATGTGTTAATAAAATAGAAATAGGTTAAGTATTAAAGAACATAACAACCTATTTACATTGACTTCTGAAAACACATAAAATGGTTATGTATTTCTACATGTAGTAAATACACATTTAAGTGTGGTTGCTTAAACTTATTAATAACACCAAGGGACAATCAGAAGACAAATGTCTGGCTTGACATTTTAGTTTAAAAATAAAATTACTCAATGGCAAACTGTATGTATATTTTATTACAAATAAATAAAATGGCTTGAGAAAAGATCAGTACCTTTTTGCCACTTTCTAGATTATTTAGTTAACTCATAAAAGCATCAGGATGAGAGGAAAACAAGTCACATAAAAGCTTTAATGTACTAAGTTACCTTAAAAACAAAAATGCCTTTTAAAACTGCATTTTAGACCAATATAAAAAAGCAAGTACCTCTACCCCAAGTTATGGTGATAACAGAAACAAATACGAGCATTCGCTATATGCCAAGCACCAGCCAAAACCACCTTGTTATAGGTATTAACTCATTTCATCCTCACAAAATATCTAATGAGGTAGGTAAATATATTATCCTAATTTTAGAGAAGAAGCAAATCAAGAACATGATGTTCATGATATGGCTGGCCCAAGTCTCACAGCTGGGAAGCAGTGGAACCTGAAATTGAACCAGCTTTATCTACTCCAAAGTTCTTGTCCTTGACTTAGATGCTTGTACCATAATATATGCTATACTTTTCTTTCATATTCTCTTAAATAATATATTGTTTTACATCTTTTAAACTTGTAAACCTTATATAAAATTATTAAATAGTACATATTCATCAGAACCTTTTAAATGAACATATTAATAGATGTAGCTCTAATCCATTCATTTTCACTGCAGTGTATATTCCATTATAGAAATAAGCCACCTATTCTTGAAATCACATATAAAAATGTAATTATCATCTATGCACTAAAATTCTAATATGTCTATAGTAAGTCTAAATAAGAAAAATATGGCTGTAAGTTATTCAACAGGAAGCACTACTACCAGAACGACATTCTACAAAATATTAACTCTGATCACCTCTGTCTGTGATCTTTATATTCAATAACTTAATTTTTCAATAATACACATCTATAATTCTTAAAGCCATTTTTATAAAAAGTCACATAATTAATTTATCCACATATTACCTAGTTTACTTTTTAAAGGAAAGGAAATTAGATACTGATGTGGGTATTAAATGGATAAGAACAGAAGACTCTGAAAGAGACCATAAGCTTACATAAAATAAGGATAGGAAGCATCGCCACTAATCTATCTGAGGTCTGCAAGTACATGCAAGAAACGTGACTGGGAGCAAGGTTTCACATAATGGAACTGCTCCCTGGAACTGATTCTTAAAATGCTGTGATCTACTTCAAGCATGACTTAAACTGAGTCTAAATGTTGAAGTATTGATAGATTGAATACAGTAAAAACACTATGTTAGTAATGCTTTTGTAAGTACTTTCTAAATTTACCTTTTTCTTTTTCTGAAGAACATGATTAGGTAGTAGTTGATGGAGTTGCTTTCTTTTTACATGCATTGCAGCAATTTTCATGTCCACCTCAAACATCTTGCTGTTTATTGCTTGCCTATAAACTACACAATTAGGAAATTGTTACAAGAAATAGAAACATTTTAACAAAGGCAGTTAAACTCACCTAGGAGAAGCTATTCTAAGTAGGGATCCTTTTCTAGCAATCCTGTGCATAAAACTATCAGGCCAAAATTCTCTCTAATCTGACATAATCCATTGCCTGAGCAAACTCTAAGTACCTTTTACCACAAGGTCTATATAATGAATAAAAGCACAAAGTATACTAACTCTTCCAGTTAATTACTCTTAAGATAATAACTTTGAAGAGTAACTCTTTAAGAAGAACTGGAAAAAAAAAGGGGGGCTTCTTCATACCCTTTTGTGCTACCACTATTATTTAAAATTCTGGCTCGGGGCGCCTGGGTGGCTCAGTTGGTTGAGCGACTGCCTTCGGCTCAGGTCATGATCCTGGAGTCCCTGGATCGAGTCCCGCATCGGGCTTCCTGCTCGGCAGGGAGTCTGCTTTGTCCTCTGACCCTATCCCCTCTCAGGTGTTCTCTCTCTCTCATTCTCTCTCTCTCAAATAAATAAATAAAATCTTAAAAAAAAATAAAAATAAAAATAAAAATAAAATAAAATAAAATTCTGGCTCAATTATGTAACAAATGTAGCAAAAGTCAAACTTACTGACTAAACCCAAAGATACCTTTTCAAGAACCTGCAGGATAAAACTCTAAGACAAGTAGTTAACATCTCTTACAGAATAACTCAAATAATAGAGGTCACAGGAACAAAAAGAAAATGCTAAAAATAAATTCATCCAAGTAAGTTCCCAGAGAATCCCGAAATGGAAAAATCCATTCACTCAGTCATGTAACAAATTATTTATTGAGCACCAATACTGTATCACACAGGGGATACAGCAGAGAATTAAGAGACCAAAAGAACTTCAGAGCCTACATTCTAGTAGGGACAATACAATAAAGAGGAAACAACGAAGTAAAATATATTTCGTATCAGATGATGATAGTGCTATGGAGAAAAACTGAGTAGGGAAGAAGACAAGAAGCTCAGCATAGAAACTGAGAGGACATGAGAGAGTGGAGACCGAAATGAAAGTGAAGTAATAAGCAAAAATAACTGATGGAACCGCATTCCAGGAAGATCCAAGGTCAAGGACAAAATGTCCTCAGTTGAGAGCATGTCTGGAATATTTAAGTAAAACAAAAAGGCCACTGGGGAGAAGGAAAAGTCAAGATCCATAATCCCTTAAGAGCAATTCTAAAATCCCAAATGCTCCCGACACATAAGTTCTTCCTATAATTGGCACCAAAACTCATCTGACAAAAACTAACCCTGATCTCACCTATTTGTGGCTATTTGGTCTCTACCTTTGCTTAATGTGAATCCTGAACAGTTCCCTGAAGAAATGTTACTGTTGCTGACTACCAAATGTTGCTCCAAGCCCCACTAGGAATTTTACTTACTAACTTTATTACCTTTCTGGCCCCAAGACATATGGAATAAAGAATTTTGAACTTATAACAGGAAATGAGGCCACAGACATAATGAGAAGGCCAGATTAGGTAAAAGCTTGCAAACCACAGTAAGGAAGGACCTAAACTTTCCAAAAGAGATTGGTAGCCATTATAGGCTTTAAGTAGGCAAGACATGATTTGGCTTAATATCATTTTGGATGCTGGCTGAGAATAACAATTATCCCATTAATAGCTGGGCTAGGACAGGCCAGGGAAACTGTAGTAATGGGAGTAATACAACAGAGCAATGACAAATGGCTTGGACTAGTGTAATAGCAGTAGAAATAGCAATTAGTAGCAGGAATCTCAATGGATAGCAAAAGTAGAGGCAAAAGGATTTTTTAATGCATTAACATCAAGTTATGAGAAAAACAGGAGTCAAGGAGGACTCCAAGATTTCTAGCTTGAACAACTACAGGGATATAGCCACCAATACCTGAGATCAGAAAGATGTGAAGTTGGAAGAGACTGGAAGTAAGAATTTGAGTATTGAAAATCCCACAAAGAATGAAGCTGGCTTTCACTTTTCCACTCTGGAAAGCAGCATGGAGGTTCCTCAAAAGGTTGAAAATAGAGCTACCGGAGACCCAGCAATTGCACTATAGGGTATTTACCCCAAAGATACAAATGTAGTGATCCAAAGGGGCACCTGCACCCCATTGTTTATAGCAGCAATGTCCACAATAGTCAAACCATGGAAAGAGCCCAGTTGTCCATAAGCAGATGAATGGATAAAAAAGATGTGGTATATATATCCAATGGAATACTACTCAGTCACCAAAAAAAAATAAATAAAATCTTCCCATCTGCAACAACCTGGATGAAACTAGAGGGTGTTATGCTAAGCGAAATAAGTCAATCAGAGAAAGACAATTAATTATCAGATGATCTTGCTGACACATGGAATTTAGGAAACAAAATAGAGGATAATAGGGGAAGAGAGAAAAAAAAGAAAACAAGACGAAATCAGAGAGGGAGACAAACCAAAAGAGACTCTTAAGCATAGGAAACAAACTGAGGGTTGCTGGAGGGGAGAGGGGTAGGGGGATGGGCTAACTGGGTGATGGACATTAAGGAGGCACATGATGTGATGAGCACTGGGTGTTATAAAAGACTCATTAATCACTAACCTCTACCTCTGAAACCAGTAATACATTGTATGTTAATTGAATTTAAATAAAAATAAATTAATTTAAAAAAAGGAAAAAGACAATCCCACAAAGGGGGCACCTGGGTGGCTCAATCAGTTAAGCATCTGCCTTTCGCTCAGGTCATGATCTCAGGGTCCTGGGATGGAGCCCCGAGTGGGGCTCTCTGCTCAGTGGGGAGCCTGCTTCTCCCCTTCCACCTGCACCTCCCCCCCTCCACCTGTGTGGGCTTATGCACACGAACGCTCTCTCTGGCTCTCTCAAATAAAATATTAAAAAAGAAAGAAAGAAAAAAGAAAATCCCACAAAGTATTCCATTAAAATGTTTCAAGGCCCAGGACAACTAAACATTTCCCTCCCAAAATAAAAGTTCCTTGAAAATCTTGATGGTTCATTAGCACAGTCTTTGATAAACTCAACTGAGATGAAATGCACAAAACAAATTTTCTAATTCAAATATCTCTACATGATTTCTTAGTTTATAGTTTAAGTTGACATCAGAATTTTTACTCTGGAAATAAACACTTCTGTGGCATTAAGCAAGTGGAGTTACCACCCTCCAAATCACATCCTAAAAAATCTATGAGTGTTTTTGCTCTCACGGTTATTAAGGGTTACTACTTGCTGGGGACACTATCCTTCAATGTTCCTCACCATAAAGAATTGTGCCATATTCTCCACTTATATTCCTAAAAATGAAAAACCTACTTATAAATTATCAATTATTTGAAAGAAAGCAACTCAATCTTTCATAAGAAATAGAATATTTTTAATCTGAATTTTCCAAGAAGGCAACTACCATGTGTCTCATTTAGAGTTGATCTTGTTTCATTTGAAACTTTAACTGCCACTGAATCACCAACAGCAAGGCTGCTGATGGTCAGAATCCCAACAGACAGCACCTAATCAGGAGCAGCTCCCAGATGTCAGACTGCTAGTGATTCCACACACAGGTGCAAATGCCTGACTACCTAAGTATGCCTTCTCGTCACCGGACCTGTATATTCATCACTGTCTCTATGCATATTCACCATTCCCTTGAAAAGTTGTGCATCTATATATAGCCTTCACTTCTGTGAACTACACCCATTTGTTCTTTAGATAAACTGTTATAACTCAGTTTTATCTCTCAGGGTATAGGTCAATCTGAAATATAGCTCTAATCACCCTATACCCGTGAATCAACACTTGAGTCTGTATTTGACACAGAGAATAAAATTTCCTCACATCACCAGAAGTCTAGTTGTGTAAACGTCTAAGCTTCAAGATTACTGAGGCAGTCAGACACAGACTCAGTCTTTTACACAATCAAATACTCAGATGGTTTCTAATTTCATAAATAACGGTGAACAAATTTAAAATGGTCCTACTTAACTTTAAATCTACAATACAAAACAAAACTAAAACCATTTATGGCAGCTCTTTCTGCCCATGGGTCCTGCCCCTGTGCTTTAATAAAATCACACACACAAAAAAACCCACTTATATATTAGACATTACTGAAACTAGTAACTAATCCAAAACATTAAAATTATTCTGATAATCACTGTTCAATATTCCCAAGTAAATTAACAGTTATTGCAAATGTCACTATGGTACACATGAAGACAAATTTAAATATGCAAGTTATGTGTTTTGATCATCCAAGGAGAGATATACCTGTATCTGTGAAGGACTGAATATCATAGGTGAGATCAACACTGAGATTTTCAGAGTTTTCTGTTTTTTTAAACACTAACCCAATCACCCACATCGTGCGAAATTCTTCCCTGCAAAGTAAGAAAAGTGTTACTAGTTTATCAAGACTTCATGAAAACGTTATCAATGTGGTTGACAACCTGAGGTATGTGGAAAAACTTGGAATACAAATGTATAAGCAAACTAAGTAAAGTTCTAAACCAAAGCTCCATCAGAACTCCAAGTCCTCCCCCATGCCTGTCCTTCATATTCCCAAGCCTAAGCAGGGTACCGACAGCCAATGTTAATGATGATCCCAAAGTACCAAAGGCACAACAAAAATTATGTTCAAACTAACAAGGGAAAAGGAACAACGCATTTTAGAAAAATCTGAAAAGAAAATTTATTCTAGACATAAAATTTTAACTAGAACTTAATATATATTCCTTAAAATTTTAAAACTCAGTCGAAAAGGTGGCATGAGGGGCGCCCAGGTGGTGCAGTCGGTTTGAGCATCCAACTCTTGGTTTCGGCTCAGGCTGTGATCTCATGGGTCCATGGGTCATGGGATTGAGCCCCGTGTTGGGTTCTGCACTCAGCACGGAATCTGCTTGGGTTTCTCTCTCCTTCTCCCTCTGCTCCTTTTCCCCCTACCCCTGCTCTCTCTCTCTCTCTAAAATAAATAAATCTTTTTTTAAAAAAAGAAAAAGAAGAAAAGATGACATGAACAGTAATTTGACTACAGCGTAATAATAGGAACAATGGGTGATTCAGCTACTTTTGAACATTTAATAATCTATATGCTGAATGGATCAGTCTTTTAATAATTAAGACTGCAGAAACAAAAAATTATAAAGAGCTCAAATAACAACTCTTGACAGGATTGCAAAAGGAAACAACCTGTACCAACAAATCAGAGTAACAGCTGTACCACCGCAGCACAATCTCAAATAAGCGATTCGCCTGTATTTTTCAACCTTTCTTTAATGCTACTTTATTTTTTTAAAAAGCTCATTACTAAAACTCCCCTCACCTTCCAAATGCAAAGTAGAATCTCACATAAATAATAATACAGCAACAACTGAACCAGAAATTGACCTATGAAAGACCCTTAAAAGAATAATGTGAGCCTTTTATTAACAGATCTTCCCAGTGTTTCAGAATCTATCACAAATCAGATTTTTTGCAAGGTAAATTGAAAGCATGTTCTCTCTTTTAAAAAGTTAAGATGAAAAGCAAGACATATTTGGGATAGCAGTTATTCTGACAACCACTGTATAATATGGGTGAGAAGAAAGAAATTTTAAGAAATGCTAAAAGGCAGATATGCAGAATTTGAACTCTAATTAGTTCATAGGTACCATCATTAGACTATTATCAGAGAACTATTTTAGTATTGATTTTTCTCAAGAAATAATTTGTCTCTTCAGTGTTTCTGATCTGGAAAACCTAATCTACTAATCTCAAATTGGTTTTGTGCCATATGTGATCAACAGAATGGTGACTCTAGTTATTAAAAACTGCCTATAGAAAGCTTCTATGAGTAAAAGTTAAAAAGGAGAGAAGGAAACTAGATTAAATTAGAAGACTGCTTACTTGTCAGGATTTTCTTTGGGTGCTGGAAATGACTGGGGATTCACATGAGCCAGTGTAATAAATTCATTCTTCTCCAAACTTCCAACCAGGATTCGGATTTTTGACTCCACCAAGCCCACCCTGAACAAATGTCACTTAGTATTAATGAAAATTCTGGTTAATTTAAAAAATAAAATAAAATGCACAAAGTCAAAATATGCTGCACAAAGCAGTAATATGAAGATCATACTTAAATACATGTGAGGGCAGTTCAACCATCTGAACTCCCATAGATAAAACCAGTCTTAGGCTCTAAACAAAAATGCTGAAGCAAAAACGGAGGAAGGATAATCAAGCCACATTTCAAACTAAGAAGGTTACAAAAGACATCCCTGCAAATATTTAAAGGAAAAAAAATCAGTAAGCTAAAACAAAGCACTTTAAATATAGTTAATGATACATGGATCTCCGTAAGGGAAACAAAAAACAAAGTTGTATACGGATCCCCAAATTCCTACACTTCCATTACAAGTAGTAAAGTTCCATTTATGAATAAAACCAGACTGGATGGGAGGACAAACTTTCTCCCATCTGATGTGTTCTGTAGCTATCTGATTGATTTTTGCTTATTTTCTCTGTAAAGTCTAATCTTATACTCACCATTCTAGGCGTTGTTTTTCTGTTGGTGCACTTGCTAGAAGTACAATATAATGCCTTTGGAGATAAAGATAACATGCTATTTATTTTATTTAACTGCTTTGTGCTGGATATTAACACCATAATGTAATAGCTTTGTTACAGTTACAGATCAGCAACAGTTTAGCAAGGGGGACTGCAATCTCAAGATGTACATAAAATCATAAAAGCTAAATACCACAAGTTTCTAACTATTGGTGAGTATATTCTTCTGAAAAAGAGTGATTTTATAAATTATCCCAAAGCAGCTTAATTCAAGAACAACGAATAAACATTAATTGATAGTTTGGTTCAAAGACTCCGGTGGAATGCTTTATATCTATAAGCTGCTCACTAAAATATAATCTACTATAACAAAGTTGTATTAATAGAAATAATGCACCAAGGCTTTAGCCACAAAAACAGGATCACTAATTATACATATTACATCAGTAAGCTCAAAAATAGTTCAAACACACCATGCTTTTTAACTCAAATTAACAGGTAGCAAAAATTAAACTGAATACTGAAGACAGGTCTCATGATTTTTTTCAAGTAACAGTACAAATTTCTATTAAAAAGCAGACATGACTAGCATGAGAGCAAAGAAGAAATCTGATTTTTATGCAGAATCCAATTCCATTAAATTAGAGAAAAGGCAAGTTTTCATTTTACAAAATGCTATCAAAACTAAATACTATTTTAAGTCTTTTTAAAACAAACTACTTACAACTAAAATATAATTCATGTAATTTTATGATACTAAAAAAGTTCAGTCCGATATACTCTCCCACAGAACCCATTTTAGAGGTGCTGGAAGCCAAACTTCTCACCAGAAACTACCTCACAAAAAAGCAAACTGACATTACCTAGTATGGATACTAGTCTGAAAAACCAGAGTATGATGAAAATTTTTAAATTAGTTTACTCTTTTTAAAAAAAAAAGGGCTGAAACCCTTATCTTTCACATCTTATAAATGAGGTTTCAGACCAAAACCAAATACCTGACCTAGGCCAGGAAAAAACTATTAACCCCAGTTTCAATTAGCCATCAAAAAAAAAAAGAGTGAGAAGATATTTAGGCAAGGGACAGTGAAAATTTGGCAAGTTAAAGCATTTTAAACCATTCTTCCTTAAACTATTCCATTTGATTACTTACTATTTATGCTCATTAAGTATCTGAAAAATGGTTATGATTCTTCATAACTATGTAACCCAGGTATGAGACTTGTATATATACGTCATCTGTAATATAGGATAATGCCTCTTACTGGCAGGGGAAAAGTGAAGCTCAAATGAGCTAACTTCAAGGACTTAATCAACTTACGGTAACAGAGGTAATATGTATAAATATGAAAACATGTAGACACATATGTGAATATGCAGCTCAAATCCATACAGACCAATACTTCCTTTACCACCAGTTTAAATTTGTTCAGCATTATTTGGATCAAACCAAATATACAGAACAAACAGATGGCTCAAATAAATAAAAGTCACATAAAAGCACTAAAAGCTCATGCATTTTACATACACAGAAACCCACTCTGAGGGCCCTTGAATTCTTTTAAATGCACCAAAATCCTAACAGGCTCAGTAACCTGATTTCCAGTCCCTGGGAGATTGGAAATGGGCGGGGGGAAGATGGAGGAAGAACTCTCTGGACAGAAGTGTAACAACTTACAACAGGAGACAACAAACTATAAAAAGCAGGCATGTACACAAAAACAAAAAAGCGAAGTTGTCTGCATTCACCTAGGACAGGGATCAAACTCTCAGTCTCTACTCTTTTACCACACTATTAAAATGGATGTTCTTAATTACCACCTGAGTCTTCAACAAACGATGCACAAATGTTCTCTATTTACGAAGGCAAAACATACAATCCATTTGAACATAATTTTGTTGGAATTCAAAGTTTAAAGTTTTGAAGTTTAAAAAGTTCAACTTTGGCACTTATTGCAATGAGGGGAGCCTGGGGGGCGTGGTTATGTCCTTTACTCAGCCACATTTAAGCAAATTTAAGCAAAAAAAGGAGATATAAAATACAGTAATTAAGCTTAATAGAAATAACCTGCCATTAGGAATCCATTTATAAAACGGAATCCATTTATACTCATCCAGCTAAGAAACTGAAACCAAAATACCGAGTTTGTTAAGTTTTAAAAACCAGAACTAGTATTCAATTCCTAAGATCCCTATCAGAAAACAGAGAGACCAAAAGAAGTATTTCTAAATTTAGACTACATATATTTTTTATTGCTGCCCCAAAGAATGTGATCTCCAATTTCCAACTGCCACCATCATTTATTTGCTCAAGATACTCAAATGCCTTCAGGAGACACTTTGAAGTCTTAATGCAATAGTCGTTAACTCTTCCCCAAATTTAAAGATTTCCAGCTTCCAATAAAAAATTTTACTATAAAAATGTATCCCCAATGAATTAAAACCTATTTAAAAATTCCTAAGAACAATTTAGTTGCTTTTATTACCTAAAAACTATTTACCCCCAAAAAACAGTATATAAGTAGGTTTCCTGGCCATTTCATCACATTAATATTTTACCTGGGTAGATTATAGCTCAGATATGTTCACTAAAAATCTAATTATCTTAGAGAAAAATCCTTATAATTCCATCTTTAAGTAACTCAGGACCAAGAGTTAGAGTTCAGTATTAAGTTTTTAAAACATTTTAAGGCTAAATTATTCTATTCACACATACTCCTTGAAATTATAATTAATCTTACACCTTAGAGAACATGCTGGCCTCTTGCTATTACCTTTCCTTCCTCTTTTCCTAGTAAAATGGAATACCTGACCTAAGTATTCACATTTCCTATGTCAATGATGATTTACTTTATTGCTACGTGTCAACTCGAATTATCTTAAAGGAAAAACATGAAAAATGTCTTCTTATAGTTATTTAAAATTGCACAAAGCAATGTTACACCTTTTTCTTAAGGAACACTGAGATCTTCTGTTAGATGACTTTTCTGCTTTTTAAGAAAATGAAATTTACCCCATGCTTCCCTCCCTTCCAAGAATGACAGGCAGGTATATCAAAATTTTTTAAAATCCAATACATAACAAATGGCACTACTTTCAGGATATACTTCAAATAAGGCTTAACCAACTTTGACTCAAGAGAAAATGAAGCATTTCAATTCAGTTGTACAGCCAATTTTGGGAGTATTACATGTGACATGTTAAAAGAAAAATTCAAACCTGTGACTATCTCTACATTCTAATGATAGTAAGCACTAGACATTATAAAGAGGAAAACTTCTGGAGAAGTTAAAAATATAAATAGGATTCGGTATAGATAAAACTAGCCCATTATTGTCATGTTTTCAAATCTGTTTTCTCAGGCCTCACAGCTAAAACTTAAATTTTTCTGATATAATTTCCTCTATTTGTTGCTACCTCCTCATACCTAATCATGCTTGAAGTCGTTTTTGATCATCTACAATGAGTTGTTTCAAGAGAATTCAGTAAAGACAATAATCTATGATCTTTTACTCAGTCCACCGAAGACCTTATAGGTACTATATGGCATAAAGGATAGCTTAAAACTTCTAAAAGACAAAAGATTAAGCAAGCTTAAAAAAAAAAAAAAAACCTTCGGAAGTTCTAGTAATGCAAATTTACTCAAATAGATGACACTATCAAAGTTTCAATTTCAACAATTAATCTTTCTTCAAGTGAAGGAAGCCACTTAAGTACTTTCAAGAACTTCAATTCTACCCACCTTAGTCCTATGAGGAAGTGAGACAGGAAAAAGAATGAATCTAGCTTAGTCTTTGATTCTCAGGGATTAAGAGATGCTGATATTTTTCTATAAAACCAGTTTCTTCCTTATTCTCCATACAAGCAATTATGTACTTTGATGCTGTAGTTTTTTTTAAATATCAGAATATATGTTTTATTAGTTTAAATGTTCAAAGGTACTTCCTCAACATCGGTTAAAATAAAAAACAGAAAATAAATTATCTGCCCAATGGAAAAGCACAACTTACGGGGAGTTAAGTAATAAACAAGAGCATTCAATGTTAAGCTATTTAAATATTAACTGACAGCACAGTGCTCCCAGAACACAACAATTAAGCTGGCTCCATACTGCTTTTTCATGCAAAAGATACAGAAACAAAACACAGAGACATCATGAAGGTCATCATTCTTGTTTTTAATTGGGGAAATAGCATAAAGCAATCTTGCTTAGATTATTACAAAACACAATCCAACACAAGATCAAATGGTCAGGAAAGTTTCAAGCATTAAAGAAAAAAAAATTTAAGTGGGACTTTGGCAAGTTTTCAGCTCAGGGCAAATAAAAGTGCAAGTCCGTTTTTTTTTTTTAAAGTAAGATTTATTATAACTTACAATTGTCATCAAAACCAACACAATCAGGCATTTAACCTGTACTAAGGTATTAAATCATTATATTAAAACCATTAGTAAAAAATATTACACCCACTTAGATTCCAAGAAATATCTGAAGGGGCTTTATTAACATTAGGGGAAAATGGTAGGCCAATCATGTGCTAGAACTATTGGAAACACTTTACTGACTCTATGTTGACATTTTATAAGCTCTGCCTATGGTTATATAGAATCTCAACAGTAAGTTTCCAGAACTGGCTGAAAATACTTCGTTTCCTAAGAGAGAACAGTAACTACAGATTTTAACTGCTCACTCCTTTGCCAAGGCATATGGATTGAGAGTTCTGGTGATGACTTAAGACGCCTACAGAAGTGATGTTGCTACAAACGTAGGAGTTCGGTTACACCAGGCAGCAAACTATAGGGGCTACACTTCACCTCAACAAAGAGAAAAGAAAGGGTTTACTAAAAACAGTACACCCTCTGTGACAGGAAGGAAAATTCTACAGAAGATGTTTAAAGGACAATTAAAAACTACATTAGTCTAGCAAGAGGAGAGGTCACATATGCTACCATTAAACCATTACTTAAGAGAGCAACATGTCTGACATGCCTTAAAATACATACTTGTACTTTTGAAAGAAGTTTGGAGCTTCAAAAAGTTTGGACCACTCTGCCTTACTCAGCAAAATTTCATCTGTGATAGCAAGACCTAAATTAAAAACATATTAAAATGTTGGCATGCTTCAGTCTAACAATCTAGAATTTCAAAGATCTTAAACATACCACATGCATTCACTATAATCCTAAAATCATTAATTTTAACAAATAGCAATTTCAGCCTATGACTTTAGAGCACAGAGATTTTTACATACATACACACTTTTCAAAAAGCTGGAGTTTCTGAGAGCCAGATTTCTGGTAAATTACCATTATTCTAAATACCATGTTCATAGGATGACTCTCTCCAAAAACTGAAGCACTGTAGTTAACCAAGAAAGAAAAATTTCCCATAAGCTCTAAGTCTTGCCTTTCTAAAAACAAGCTTCCTGATGTTTCTAAGCAACATTCTCCCATGAAGAGCCTCTTCAGACTACAGAAAAGAATTTTACACTCCTGAGTTTGATGTTGGTAGTGGTACAGCTATTTGTTTCCATGACTATTATCAATCAAATCAAATAATCCTGTTTCAGCTACTTCCCTCAAAGACCGTTTTTGGCAATGAAATTAGAACAGTACTACTGGGATTCAGAAAGTTTAGAGGTTCTTCCAAAATAATAGGCACTTTGGCCCCAATCCTGCTCAAAGCTCTTTTCAAGTATATAGCTTGCTAAAAGCATCTCTCAGGTCACCCAGTGGAGACAAACTGGTAGCATTTTAAAACTTTACATGGCAACTGTATAGCACTAAGGCAGCCCATAAAGGGCCAGCTAAGGGGATAGCTTTAAACTGATTAGCTTTCTAGCAGATAACCAAAAATACTTTGCCTCAAACTGAATTTTTCAAGTCAATTCTCAAATACATACTGTAATCAATCAGTAAACACCAAAACCCACTTCAGTGAATGCTTTCTTCATTTTAAACTGCATAGCCAACTACTGGGTCTACAATGGTATGTAGATCCTTCGTGTATAAAGGAGAGCATAAGGATAAACACTTACCTTGTTTAAACTCCTCAACCATGACCATCCGTGTTGAAACGGACACATTGTACGTGGAGTTCTGTTGTGGGTATGCTGGTGTAATTATAGGCATAAGATGGTACCTATCACTGGGGTTTACCTACATACAACAACAGCCAATCAGTTTCTTCAAGTACATATGCAACAGATACTTGGACTTTTTACCCCTTGTTAAACTGAACCAATGATTAAATTTTATTTCATTCATAGCTGGAGTTGAGAAAGAAAAACCATGTAAGGCGACATTGTTTTTATAGGAATTCTTCACAGAATCAGAGATTTGGTCTAAAGAGATTTGATCATTTGGGCATGACTATTTTGGCAACCTTACTAGAAATAGTGTGCCTGTCAAGCAAAAAAGGTTCTAGTGGAGCATCTATTGATGTTTAGTTTTTCTTTTTTCAACAACAGAAATGGGGATGCACACACAATTACACTTTTCAGAAATGTCATACTAAATAGTGTTCTGTGCAAAACAAATTTTAAACAAGATGGAAACAAAGTTTTTAATATACCATTGACTTATAGGAAGTATAAGCTTCTTAACACATGCTGAGGCTATATTATCCGTGTTATTTTAAGAAAAAATGAAATGATTTAATAACTTAATCTGTATACTAATGATAAGTGACATATTTCCACGAAGGAAACTGTAAATTCAAATCCCTCCAAAATTAAATGCCTGAGGCTTGGAAAACTTGAAAACAGACAGCTTGATGTAATTAACAGACTTAAAACTGACTTAATTTTCAATATTGCAGTAAGATAGGAAACTAATAGAAAAATAGAATTTTAAAGACCTAAAAAAAAGCCTTACTGAAACCTGTATTTCTTTTATCAATTAATAAAGTGCATGTTGGTAACATTTAAACTGAGTAAGCGGTAAAGGTTGTAACTTCCCAAAAAGCGGAACAGAAGCTCTTCTTTTATCCCAACCAGGTTTTTGTAATCTGAAATATCCAAACCAATTTTTACAATTACATCATAGTAATTAGAGTGATACTGCTTAGAAGTTATCTGCCACATGTAAACGTTAAACAGTTTTCCTACCACAACCCAATTTTAACAGAATATTTAGATCAAATAAAAAAATACAGGGATTTTGAGTATCCTTTTATTTTTTTTTTTAAGCACAAATGCCCACACAAACTTTGACTTACAAGGTAGTTCTATATAGAATAAATTAAAATGTTAGTGAACTTGATATTATAAACTATGTACAATTAAAAGGAGTTTACAGGGTACATAATTATGCTTCTCACATCAGAGGACAATTATAGTTGAGGTTATCTAAAAGAAAGTGTAATACGGACATGTCCACTCATACATAAAAGGATGGGAAGTCTCCCTGAAGATTATGCAGATGATTTTTACTTGTTATTGCACAGTGCGAATTTGTAGGGGAAAAAATAATACACTAACCCTTGGGTCCCATACAGGCAAATTAAGATTGCATTCTTCAGGCTGTTTCAATAGCACTGGATTTGGCCATTCCCTGTTTAAAAAGATTGTAGCACTTGATAAGACTATTGGATATTACCATCTAAACGTATTTTGTTAAACATACAGCATTCGTGAATGTGAGCCTTCTTCATTTTGCCCTCTTGATATATATAATATTTTATTCCTATCTGTTGATGTTAAGACAACTCGAAGTACTTTTCCTCTAACTATGAAATTAACTTAAACCATTTGGCAGCTTTCTCAGGCTGGTAAGTCACACATCTTCTCTGCCTCTCAAAGAACTGATAAAGCACTATTTAAATAAAAAAGTACTATCCCAAGACATCCGATGTGTTCACCTCAACCTTCAACAGGATAAACCCTTCTTGAAAGACAAAAATCCTATTCTTACACTGGCTACATCCAAAGACAAGTGAGGGTGAAAAAGTTAACTCATTTAAGCAAAGGAATATGAATAATTAGAGACTGATGAGGAAAATTTTATCTCACAACCTAAAGATTCTAACATGAGTATGTGTGATGAAACTTTGTGACGTGAATAACATTGTTTTCAAGACGCATTCTACAAGTTAGCTACCTCAGTCTTTTAGGGAAGAGATTAAAAATTGGAAAATATTTTCCATCCTTAGTAGCAAGCTTAGCTTCTTAGAAATATTATTTGCTATGTATGTGTAGCATTACAGAAATTCTGACATTCTTTAGTCAATCTCATCAAAACTGATTATATATGATTAAGCACTATCAAATCTGTAAATAACAGAATGTGTACTGAAAAGTGGGGCACAGTTCTAAATTATAAAATTATTTCCAGTAATTTAAATTTGTATAAAATAACTAAAAAAACAATTTTTGCAGAGGAGGAGGTACAGGGGTTGGCAGGTACAGAGCGGGAAGACAAATCTCTAAGATCAATTTGATTAAAAACCAAGAAACCTTTTAGGCCAAAGCAAATATGAATTGGCAACAATTTTTTATCTTACTTTTCTTAAATAATGATTGACAAATGTGAACATGCTGAAATGAGGAAGCTTTAAAAAACAAACTCTCCTGGGTTAATGACTGACCTCAAAGGGATGACAAAATTGCTATTTTTTTACACATTTATAGTTATTCTTAAAAGCTTTTTATATATATTTTTAATATTTTACCAAAGATAAATGGGCAGCTGAAAGCAAAAAAATAATTCCAAGAAACTAATGACCTGTAGATTTGGAAAAATCCAAAGAGCGTAAGAAGTGGTATGTATAAGTTTTATCCAAACTTCCTAAAACTGATATAAGTTCATTGGATTTTAGCAGACATGACAGCTAAAATTCAGAGTTTATTTAGAGGATAAGGAAGCACAAAAAAGCACCTGCCTTCCTATCCTGGGAAAGCTAGGGAAAAGGAAAGGAATTTAGGTTTGCCATTTTATACACAACATGATCTCCCCAAAGCTACCTAAATGGCTACATCATGAGCTAAAATTTGAATCTGAAACCAGCTGCAGAAATGTCATAGAAATAAGACTAAACTTCAGTGTCTACAATCAATTTTATTTTAATATAATCTAAACACATACCATTTAGAAAATACCAAGAAAAATTTATGTACAAGAGTTGATGCTATTGCATTTGGATAAAGCTGGCAAGTTCTTGCTACCAGCATGGCCCAGGAAACACCACCGAGGAAACCTAATATATTGGAATAGATGTTGTGGCCTGTTGATAAGGGAAAAGCAAAAAGAAAAGTTAGTGTTGAACAAAAGTTGAAACATTTTTAATAAGCTAGCCAACAAATTCTGAACTCACGTTTGGCCCACAGTTTGATAGCTCTCAGAGTTAACCTGAAGTTGTCAATGTTTGGTACTAGATGTAAAATTTCATCGGTTACCCTGCAACCTGATTAACAGGGAGTGAAAAAACAGAACGTTAAACCATCAAAAGTTTAATGATAATATTTCTTTTCAATTTTCTAAGATTGATGTCAAACTTAAATAAAAACTTATTTCATAGGATCAGTAACATTAATTGAATAAAAAGGCAAATAAAAAATCTAGAACTCTTATCGCAAATAAAAAATCTAAAATTTTTATCTCCTATCACAAATATATCACAAAGAATTTGTAATCTGGCTGATCTCAAACTTTCATCATATAATTAAAACTTCTTCCAGTCAGGATATACTGACAAGGGTTTAATCCACTTAAGTTTGCAAGAATTGTTCTTGCCAGAGCACAGCAACAGCAATGTAAATACAAGAGTGTTCAAAAGTAACCCCTTTAAACACAACAGCTGAAAAGGTTACAAAGGATATCATGATCACAATTAATTAGGGTTATGCCGTGAAGCCTAAACCACTAGTAATAGAGCACAAATGTTAGTCTTTAAATGTCCCAGGAAGAAAAGAAATAACAGTGCAAGATACTGGTGAGTAAAATAAATTACCATATACCCCTCTGCAGTCTTAACTATTAAGTAAAGCATATTTTATTTGACTCAATATGGGTAAACAGAGTGGCTATAAAAAGCTCCTTTATAAAATCTGAGTTAAAAACTATTTCATATTTGACAAAAACTGCTACTATGCAAATGGAAGTAGGTTTTAACATACCGTTAAGACTTCTTATGCATCTTATATCTAAATTCTTAAGCAGACTGTCATCTCGTAAGTCCAAGTCTTCTGGAATAGTCTGCAGTGCTAGTCTTGCAAACAAAATATCAATCTAAAACAAAAACAAAACTTAACATTCCATATCCATCAAACTATTTTTAAGGCATTTCTTTAACAAAGAATACTCTTTAAAGCCAGGATCTTCTCATCAACTATAAACACGACAATGCCTCCAAAAGTCCAAAGTCCAATAATGTGTATCATAGGTATTTTAATCAGATGTTAAAACATGGCACCATGAAAGAGAACTTGAATAAATACCTACTTGTCATTTTAATCAGGCTTACTAAGTTTGATTTACTAAGTTTACTAATGCATCTACTGGATATACTAAATTTGTTAATGTAGCTACTAGACTATTTAAAATTAACTGTTTAGTTCTCCATCTATATAAATTATGAATTGATTATATATTAAAAGGTGCCCAACTATAAGGCCAACATCCTTATATTTAGCCCAAATATACCTGCCAGTAAAAAGGGGGTTCCTTACATTTAAGACCTTACATATCTGTAACATTACAAGATTCCCAACTTAGTTTTGACTAAATAGGAACAAAACAAAAACAAACACCAGCTAATTCTGAAGGCTTACAGAATGCAACTGACAAACCACCCCCACCCCGCCCCGCTTTTAAGTAGGCTCCACGCCCAGTGAGGAGCCCAATGCAGGGCCCGAACTCCTATCCCTGAGATCAAGACCTGAGCTGAGACCAAGAGTCCGACACAACCAATGGAGCTACACAGGAGCCCCTCCCTTTTCTCCAAGGAAAGGTGAGAGTGTGAACAAACTCAGCACAGATTTGGTCATTATTCCTGAGGGTATGACTTCATGGTTCTAAAACTGTGGATGCTGCCAGAAGTAAGCCTTTTAGAAGATCACTTTAGAAGGCAGTATTTTAAAAGCTTATTGTGAAAAATCATTTAAAACATACACCTACAAAACAGAAAAACAGCTGTACACTTTTATAAATAATTAACTTGCGGTATAGCAAAAATGTTCTAATGAAAGTTTCCAAAGTCCAGTAGCTCCCCCCAATTTAGACAGAAATAAAAATTATGTGCTTACATAAACAGGTAACTCAACAAGCAAGTCAACAGAGATTGCCATTTTAAGTAGGATAAAATGATTTTTCAAATGTTCTAATGTAAACACATTCCCTAAAACAGTGTTATTTTTTTTTTGTTTTTTAAAGATTTTATTTATTTGACAGAGACACAGTGAGAGAGGGAACACAAGCAAAGGGGGGTTGGAGAGGGAGAAGCAGGCTTCCCGTGGAGCAGAGAGCCCGATGTGGGACTCGATCCCAGGACCCTGGGACCATGACCTGAGCCGAAGGCAGTTGCTTAACGACTGAGCCACCCTGGCGCCCTAAAACAGTGTTATTTTTATATACAATGTATGGACAGGAAACTAACACATTAAATATTTCAAGTAACCATCTGACTTTCATCTCCATCCTGAGAAGTTCACACAATTCAGTTGGGTCTTCCACAAAAAAACCAATCCCCCCTTCTTTGGTAATGTTATTTTGGGGAAAGCAGGACATTGCCTTACCTTACAGATTGTTTTATATTTACTTAAGCACTGACAGCAAAATCTACCTGAACTTGACAATCCTTTACTAAATTTAACATTTTAGGTCTACTTAATTAAGGTTAATCATCGACTTTTCAAGGAAGACAGGGCTGGGCATCTTTATGCAGCAGTTAAAGAAGTCGTCTTTTTTTTTTTGCAAAACAATGAAGTATTATTCTTCCAGTTTCCAAAATTTTACAATCTTCACCATCAGTGACTTTCCAGAACTATTATATATGACAGAAATAACATAAATAAGTGAAGTTGCTTTACTGTCTTACCAGCTTTGTTCCAACTGTCTTCACTACAACTGCTGTGGAGAACAGCAGACAGAAATGACTATCATCTCAAGAATCTGAACTCATAAATCCTCCCCTAGCAGAAAATATCTCAGCATACACACTATCAGGTCACAGTTTTCTCTCAACTTCTTAAATATTTAATTTAAATGATGTCAAGGCAAAATTCCATGTGCAAAAAATATTGTTATTACCTTAGTAAGACTAAAAGTATATAAATTTGCATATGGAAAACCTACTGAGTAAACAGTTTTGTAACAGCATTTCATAGTCAATGTTTAATTATTTCTGTCTATATTTTAGCTCTTAATTTCATGAGGCTCTTTCAAAAAAGACGAAGGAGCACGTGGGTGGCTCAGTTGGTTGCGCATCAGACTCTTAATCTCAGAATCCTGAGATGGAGCCCCACATTGGGCTCCGTGCTCAGCTAAGAGTCTGTCTGAGATTGTCTCCCTCTCCCTCTGCCCTTCCCCCAGTACATCTCTCTCACTAAAATAAATAAATCTCTTTAAAAAAAAAAAACAAAAACAAAACCCACACACACAACACTAAAACTGGGGTGCCCGGGTGGCTCAGTCAGCTAAGCATCTAACTCCTGATTTCAGCCCAGATCATGATCTCCGGGTCATGAGACTGAGCCCAGCGTGGAGCCTGTTTAGGATTCTCTTTCTCCCTTCCTACTCCTTCTAAAAAAATAAAATTAAAAAAATAAAAAGACTAGAACTGATATTCTACAAAGAACAGAGTCACTTCTATTAAAAAAACTTAATTGTTGGGCGCCTGGGTGGCTCAGTTGGTTAAGCGACTGCCTTCGGCTCAGGTCATGATCCCAGGGTCCTGGGATCGAGTCCCGCATCGGGCTCCCTGCTCTGAGGGGAGCCTGCTTCTCCCTCTCCCACTCCCCCTGCTTGTGTTCCCTCTCTCGCTGTGTCTCTCTCTGTCAAACAGATAAATAAAATCTTTAAAAAAAAGAAAAACTTAATTGTTAATATCACATCAACTTACCAATTAAAATAACTTTTTAACCTACATCAATCAACATTACACAGAGCAAGAACTGTCTATTTGAATTATATCTTACCTCTATCCCATCAAAACACAGTTTGATAACTGGTACAAATGCCTCTTCAACAGCCTGTAAGAAAATTAAGTAAGTTCAGTGTCTCTCAAACTACAGATCAGACCTATACTAGTTTTAGTACTTTTGAGTGAATGAGACATTTGAAATTGTTTAAACATAATTTAGCATAACGCCTGACACAGACTAGGTTCTTAACAACTAGCTTTAAGACACCAGGCTCTTGAATCAGATAAACCTAGGTTCAAATCCTTGATTTCTGCCACTCAGATGTAATCGTGGCCACACTGCTTAGTATTTATTCTTTTTGCCTTATTTCCTACTCTGAACATGAGATGAAATTTATTTCAGGCTTGTAAAGAATAAAATGCAAGCATACATGTTAAGCCCTTGAAAGGGTCTGGCAAATTGCAAGAGTTCAATAAATGACGGCTAGACCATAAAATTTGCTCAATTTCACTAATTTTTATAAACTCCTCCCCTTTCACCCCAAACATTTACGCACTCTTAAATCTTTTACTTCTTCCTGTAATTTCAACTTATCATAGAATGAGGTGAAAAAGTCACTTCGATCAACATGTCTTGGTGCAACACACAACGCATCAATATCGGCACCTAAAAAAAATTAAGCCCATCAACCACTAATTACTATTACAAGAAAATTATTTTGCATCTTATCATGGCAGTACTTGATGTTGAGAATCTGTTAACATTATACTAGCGAGCCTCTAAAAATGTGCCCTTCCCCTTAAAAAACATTACTGGTCAGTATAGGAAAAACATGATACTAATTGACGGGATATTTTTTTCCTGCAGCATCCTCTATTTGTAGTGGCCCAGGTGACCTGGGAGTCAGAGAAAGGTGACTCAGATAGGACTTTTATGTTAAAGAGAGGGAACTATTCAAGAATATACCCAACATTTTGATGTCATTGTCATAGCCAAAACCAAAAAAGTGGTTTTTTTCCCCCACACATTATGTGGTAGTGCTTATAGGTGTCTATCTGGCCCCTAAATGGGACCTACAGAATAAACTCCAAAAAGGACCACTGGCAAGAATCCAAAGAGGCACACCATGGTAAGATATTTGTTACTAATTTAGTGCTTGATAGGAGGCCAGCCTTGAGTGCATAGGGGGAACACAACAAAGATGACTTCAATCAATAACTGGGATCATAAAAGGGAGAGATCAATGTGGAATCAGGTCAACACAGTCATTTCCCTAGAAGACTCAATAGCTAAGGCACTACTCTGAAGGCTGTGTATTTAGCATATACGCAAAAGGGAGAAGAGCATACAGTGCACAGGACACATCAAAAGCAAATGCACTAACTACTACTGGCACAGAGCAGTGGGAGATGCAGAGGAGGAAGAATGCCAGAACAAACAGAACACTATCCTGGCAGATACTTTTTAACAAGGAAGTCAGTGGTTAATGGCTGAAGAATCCTAGTTCTGCCAAGAGATGGCTGGGAGAAACTGTTCAAGCCTACTGTCTCGGTAAGTCTCAGACTTCTATTTGTTACATGAGAATAAGAGAACTGAGGAATAAATGAGATAATGAAGACCAAAAGCTTATTATTAGCTCAGTGCCCAGCAAAAAAAAAGTCCAATAAATGTTCTCCGCCGTGGTAACATTTTCACTGTGTGTTTATTTGCATAAGGTAAGTACAAAGCAAGAAAATACTGACAATGATCACCAATGGCTGCAGATACACTGTTGTGGTTTGGTTTTTGCTCAACTGTATTTTACAACTATTAAAAAAAGCACGAGGAAAAGAAAATCCACAGGTCTTTTTAAGAGGCTTGCATTCATTTTTGTTCTGATTTCCTGACTTGATATTCTTCAGGTAGAGGAAATGATACAGAGAGCAGCACTGTCCGAAAGAGCTCTCCACCGGGGAAAAAAGTTCTCTCTCTGCACTTTGCTGCACAGTAACCACTAGCCGCCATGTTACTGATATAAAAACGCGACTACTTCTACTGAGGCACTGACTTACCTCTTAAGCTGAAGTACAGTTGACATACAATGTTGTATCAGCCTCAGGTTACAACACAGTGATTCCACAAGTCTATACACTATGTTCTGCTCACCACTCTAAGTGCAGTATACAAGGTCGTTAACATACTACTGACTATATTCCCTATGCTGTACAGAACTGCCTTTTCTAATTTACTTAATACCATATTGGTCAGTGCAGGTTTAGAAGACATCTTTTTTATCTTCTTAACCAACTTTAGGCTCCTTGAAGTATTCTATCTTCCACACAAACTCACTAAGCTGTATGCCATGCAAGTAACTGCGATGAATGGGTCGTTATGATTTTTAAGAACTAAAAAGAGTATTCCTTCTCAAGATAATTAAAACAGTATTTACCTTTTGTATGTACTCCTAATCTGTAAGATCCAAATGTAAAAATTTTTCCTCCAACATTTTCAATTACAGATTGTGGAAGATTCTGTTTAAACAAACAAGAAATGGATATTCTATCAGTGGAGAACAAAAGAGATTATTTCAAATAGCACTATACAATAATTTAAAAAAAAATAAGAATTCAGTGCAAATTTATGGAGGGTAAACAAACTCTGTAAGCTCTACCAAATACCAGGCCTTCATATATCAACCAATTTTGAAATAAAAGCAATTTCCAACTTTTAGTGAATGTTCTTTAGTGACCCACACCATTTTAGAATTTTGCCACATATCTGGGAACTGCTATAAAAGAGGACTATCGTACAGGAGAGCATGTGATTCCATAGGAGTAATGTTAGAAGCAGATTTTATTCATGACCAATATGCTGCACATATCATGAATGTTAGACTATAACAAAAACACATATTCTGATTGCTTAAAAAATTACATTCAATGATTATACTGAATATTCCACAGTACATTAGATATAATTTTACCATATCAAAAGTGACTTTAAGGCCAATACTGCTACATAATAGTTTCGATTTCAAAAAGGCTTTGGCGGGATGACTTTGAACAGAACTAAAACTTACTGATAGTTTCTTAGAGTAGAAACACCAAGAAAAAGGAGAAAGGAAAGCATTTAAAAATCATCTTCCTGACCCTGGTACTACTGTAAAGTACTATGGTGAGTACTTAATGCCACTGGTGGTAAGGATGATACCTGTCCAAACAAAAAACAATTTTAATGTGTGCCTGGTCAATGTTTCTCTTCACTTTCTAATTCCTCAGTAAAGTCTTATTCAGTACCAAAACACCAATCACTCCTCCTCACCTCCCCCAAGTAACATAAATGAAAGTGTTACTTCATACTACAAAAACCTTAAAAATAAATTGTAAAGATTCAGGGACTCCCTTGTTTTTTGAGGGCACATTTAATCACCACTTATACAAAAAGGACCATCTAGATATATGATATTACATTTGTCTTCCTACATTTAGAAATCTAAAAACCTCACTTGCAAAGTTGGCCTGGTTATTTAAATTAAGTCAGCAAGATGTTGCAGGAATAGGCCTACAAAGGGAGTTAGGAAGAAACTACCTGAGATCAATGATCTACGGACTTTTCTAGTAAAACAAATCTTTTGGATACGTGCACTCTAAACAACTGTCCACTATAGTGTGAAATATATGTAAGTATATATAATGAAATACAGCTAGCTTGGCTGAGGAACTGGATATTTAATTTTAGATCATTTAAACAGAAACAGCCGGGCGCCTGGGTGGCTCAGTTGGTTAAGCGGCTGCCTTAGGCTCAGGTCATGATCCTGGAGTCCCGGGATCGAGTCCCACATCGGGCTCCCTGCTCAGCGGGGGGTCTGCTTCTCCCTCTGACCCTCTTCCCTCTCTTGCTATCTGTCTCTAATTCTCTCTCTCTCAAATAAATAAATAAAATCTTTAAAAAAAAAAAAAAAAAAAAAAACAGAAACAGCCACATGTCATTAATGGCTCCTGTATATGAGCACACGTTTACACATTAGTATGTTTATAGCTATTTTAATAATTTTAACCCAGAAATTAAGATTCCTTAATTCAGGTCACAGAAAAATAAATTGCAAAATCTTTTTTTTTTTAGTCTCAGAATATTAGACAGCAAACAAGACAACTGAAGTAAAATTCAAATTTTATATAATTCCCCCCCCAAATACCATAAATAAATTCACTGGAACTATCTATTAATCACTGCTTCTCAACCAGGGCTGACTCTACTCCTCCAGGAACAAACAGCAATGTATGGAGACATTTTTGGTCACAATTTGGAGAGAGAGAGGGCAAGGGCAGTGCATCTAGTAAAAGAGGGCCAGGGATGTGTTTTACTTAAGATCTTACGATACACAGGATAACACCCTAAAAAAGAATTATCTGATCCCAAAATATCAACAGTGTCAACATCAAGAAATCCTGTATCAAGTCTTAAAACTAACCAGCTGAAGAAGAAATTCTCTCTACAAAAGGCAGACACAGAAGATCAAAACGTATGAAGCCTAACCTCAGTCCCTTTCTCTAATCAACTTACTACTTACAGTTAGGCTATAAAGAAAAGGACACTGATAAATCCGAATAGGAATGAGCATTACTTTCATTCATCCAAACACATTTTCTTACCCTCAGTAAAACCAGCAGGAAGAACTGTATCAAGTATTACTGGTTAAAGAAACTTACTGAAGTAAATACCTGAAACAAAACTACGATGAGGCAGTACTCACATTTCACATTAAGTAAATCTAAGTTTTGTCTTTGTCTACTTGACTATGGCTTTAAACTTAAAACATAAAATGCCATTAAAACAAGGCTGTATTTCCTATAGAAGGTTAAGGAAAGCCCAAGTTCAATAAATGAGTAAAAAATACTTAAACTTGGGACATCTGCTGCTCAGCTCAAAAAGAACTTTCTTTCTAAAATCTCATTCATGGGGCGCCTGGATGGCACAGTCGGTTAAGGGTCCGACTCTTGATTTCGGCTCAGGTCGTGATCTCAGGGTCCTGGAATCAAGCTGCACATCCAGGCTCCGCGGGTGTATGCTTGAGATTCTCTCTCTCCCTCTGCACCACCCCCCTCCCCCCTCTCTCTAAAATAAATTTTTATAAATAAATAAATAAATCGCATTCATATCAGGAATTCTATCAATGAGAAACACGCAGTACACCGAGTCCCCCGTTTAAAACACTCCCATTGCTGAAGTTTTAATCGGTTGCTTAAAATATATATATGCTATTTTAAGAAAACAATATAAATTTGACTAAAACCAAAAGACTTTCTTTGTTAATCCCCTCTCTCAAGTTTTCAATCCTTGGTTCTCTTTCCATCAATTTTTCAGTTGTATTATAAATTAAATATGCCTTTTATACGGTCCTGGGGAAACTGCCACTATTTAAGCAATTTTTTCAAAGTAATCTCTACCCCCAACATGGGGCTCAAACTTACAACCCCAAGATCAAGAGTTGCACCCTCTACAGACTGAGCCAGCCAGGCGCCCCTATGCAATTTTTAAAAATGGGCCAAATGAATTCCACACACAACTCTAAGAATACATTTCCATTACCAGAAGCCCAGTCATAGATTCATCAACTGTATGTATAATTTTTCAGAATAAAGTTTAGGAACTCAGAGAGTATTATAAAAAACTAAACAGATAGTCAGTTTGAGAGTCTAGTACCTGAAAACCTAAAAATTGTTCATTGTCGTAGGATTGCTTAAAAGGTAGCAAGATTCTCAAATATTTAATATACATTTTTAAAGCACCTCTTCAGGGGCGCCGCCTGGGTGGCTCAGTCGTTAAGCATCTGCCTTCGGCTCAGGTCATGGTCCCAGGGTCCTGGGATCGAGCCCCGCATCGGGCTCCCTGCTCTGCGGGAAGCCTGCTTCTCCCTCTCCCATTCCCCCTGCTTATGTTCCCTCTCTGGCTGTGTCTCTCTGTCAAATAAATAAAATCTTTAAAAAAAATAAAAAATAAAAATAAAATAAAGCACCTCTTCAGGGAAATATCTATTATTTCTGTGAAGCATAAGTAATTACTGAGTTTCAGCTTTAAATATTGCAACAGGGCGCCTGGGTGGCTCAGTCGTTAAGCGACTGCCTTCGGCTCAGGTCATGATCCCAGGGTCCTGGGATCGAGCCCCGCATCGGGCTCCCTGCTCGGCGGGAAGCCTGCTTCTCCCTCTCCCACTCCCCCTGCTTGTATTCCCTCTCTTGCTGTCTCTCTGTTGAAAAATAAGTAAAATCTTTAAACAAATAAATACATATATACATACATACTGCAACAAAAAAGTACTCATAAAATCACTGAATTCAGTTGTTTTCCCTGCTTTCAAAATAACTAGAAACAAAATTCTGTTATCAAATAGTCTAAAACGGACTTTGCATTAAAGACTCCAAATCCACTCTAAGAAGAACAGCTTACTTAAGACTGCTGCTGTTCGGTTGGCAAATCATTTCATACACAAATAAGTCACCTTACCTTGCTTTCACTGATTTCTCGTATCCACTCTTTTACCAGGTTATTTAATTTCCCCAAAATTAAAATCCTGTTGATAGAGCAAATATCAATCAAGTATCAAGTTGTTTCATTACTAATTAAAATGAAATCAGTTCTCAATAGGTGGTTCCCTAAATCTCAACCAGTTTTTAAGTTATCAGAAAGTAAGTACACAGTAGTTTACTGTATGTAGGCACTGTTACACTGGGAAAGGCATTCTTTAGCTGAGTAAGCATTCCCCTTCTGACAATGCTGTAATGTAATAACCAAAAGCATCAAAAATCAAAAGGGAATAAAATTCATTGTAGAAAAAAAGTTTTTTCTAAGCATCGCTCTTGTTCAATACAGATTTCAGGGAATAATTCTGACTGAGTAGATAATGCCTCAAAAATTAGTTTATTACACTGATAAAAAATTATTAAAAGAAAAATACGTATGTGTATATTCACCTGCGCTGCAGTTCCTCTTCCTCTTCAAAAACCCCAAAGGGCTTCAGAGTCTCAATTAGTTTCTGTGTAAGCAGGCAGTCAGTCTCCTTGGGGGCTGCTAAGCTGATAGGAGAGGTAATGCCATAATGCTTCTGGGGCGGCTGTGTTTGTTGTGATCCCTGCGTTGTAACTGGACTACAAACAAAATTAGATAAAATTACTGCCAAAGAATTTCTATAATTTGAAACAAATCGTTTGACTAGAAAAACTGCTTTAGTAAAATGCATTTCTAAACACAGCTGGGGGGCGCCTGGTGGCTCAGTTGGTTAAGCGACTGCCTTCAGCTCAGGTCATGATCCTGGAGTCCCAGGATCGAGTCCAGCATCCCACATCCCCACATCCTGCATCCGGCTCCCTGCGGGGAGTCTGCTTCTTCCTCTGACCCTCCCCCTCTTCATGTGCTCTCTCTCTCTCTCTCAAATAAAGAAATAAATAAATCTTAAACACAGTTGGTTTCCTGCCATATCCAAAAAGACTCCTTTCAAAAGACATCTTACAGCAAAAAGTAACCAACCAAAAGCAAGTGACCAAAAAGAAAACTGTAACTCTTCCCACTCCAAGGATTTTAACTTTATCATTACCTAAATATCTAAATAAGCTATAAGAATCCAGATCAAATATAATGGTAGAGAAAACACAACTTAGAATATGGTGAACTGAGAAACTACGTCTTGAAAAGGAGCCAAAATCTGTTATACTGTTATTTCTAAAGCAATGATAAACACACTATAAACACTATTTAACCAATACAAGAGATTCCCCACAAACAGAACTTAATATCTGACTCACAGTGAATAAAATTCATAAAATACAGAGCAAATAACAAAGATAACTTGCAGAATGCGGGGCACTGTAGTCTCACACTTAAGTTTATTACACATTTCTGGTGGGAGATTCGCACTTCAACAGTGATGCTAGTCTAAAACGTTTTTCCTCCCCCATTTTAAGAGAAATTCCAGATTTTTACAATCAGTAGGACTTTACTGTAACTGGTTAAATACAAAAAGGCATGGCATACTTGAAATGCTTTAGAGGAAATTAATTTGACTCGAGTATTTTTTTGATGAAACTCATTCATGTTTCTCATCCTCTTTGTTAAAATAATTTTAAGTCAATGGACAAGACCTCTAAAGAGAAGCAGCACAATTATTATATAAAAACTAACAAGTCAAATACCATAAAAAATGAAGAATGGGCTAAGAACCTATTTATTTGTCCCAAATCTGTTCCTTAAAAAATTGAAGTGTTTGTTTTACACACACACACCTACTTTTCTTTCCAAGTATGTATTTTTTTTACACTGAAGAGGAAAAAAAAATTGAAGTTCAATAGTCCACTTAAGCAATAACATGCCAAATCCAAGAATCCTATGCAGGGAAGTCCCATTATGCATTTAAAACCTATCCACTGGATTCTGGTTTATACAGTGACTGCTGGACAGTGTTCGATATTTTGTCTTCTATTATCAACATAGAACTAAGAATGCCAGGAAAGCCATACTGCTTGTTTCTAAGTTAGCCAATGGTCTGTATATTCTCTAGTCAATGTTTCCTGGTCCAGTTATGCACTCTCTCAATTTTAATCCAGGTTAGTAAATAAATGTCAGGTATATTATCTGTTTCAGCAATTAATTCATGTTAGATCCTTCTTCCTACTCCTGTAACTAAACTGCAAAGCTATACAAAGGCTATGTTAATTCCCAGAGCTGGGGATCCACATGAACACAAAGCACTGTCTCAGACTAAATATCTTCCATTAATGTTCTATTTTTCACATTTATGTAGCATCTTCTATGATTAAAATATACAAATTAACCTAAGTGTAAATGCATTCATGATGTCTTCGTTAGAACATCTTTTTGTCAATAAACAGTTATCATCAGGTTCCATAAAAGTGACATCAAAAATGCAGCCCTAGGGCCGCCTGGGTGGCTCAGTCGGTTAAGTGTCTGCCTTCGGCTCAGGTCATGATCCCAGGGTCCTGGGATCAGCCCCACATGGCAGAGCCCTGCATGGCATCAGGCTCCCTGCTCAGTGGGGAGCCTGCTTCTCCCTCTCCCTGCCACTCCCCCTGCTTGTGCTCTCTCTTTCAAATAAATAAAATCTTTTTTTTTTTTTAAGATTTTATTTATTTATTTGACAGAGAGAGAGATAGCGAGAGCAGGAACACAAGCAGGGGGAGTGAGAGAGGGAGAAGCAGGCTTTCCGGCGAGCAGGGAGCCCGATGCGGGGCTCGATCCTAGGACCCTGGGATCATGACCTGAGCCGAAGGCAGTCGCTCAACAACGGAGCCACCCAGGCGCCCCAATAAATAAAATCTTAAAAAAAAAAAAAAAGGTAGCCCTGAAAACTGCCTAACCATCTGAGAACCCCTTCACACCACACATACTCTGATTTCAGATAAATTAGATATTAAATGAAAACAGCACACTAAGTGATTATATTCTCCGTATTTTTCACTGCTTCAATATGAGTTTCTCCAAGTCAACTAGAACCCTTCATGACTACGACAGGATTATGAATACCTTAATAAATGATTTTAACATGAGTACAGCCAGAAATGAAAACAAGTGCAAGTTCATTCCAGTTAGTCTTGGTTCAAGCAAGGTGAGATTTGAAGTCAAGTGTGAACTGAATTCATGTTTTCATAACTTCAGGTAATAATTTCAGGTAAAATCCACTCTAGTGGATTGTTTTTTTGTTTTGAGCAAGTAATATGTTTCTCTGCATTCATTCCTTTCTGAAGAGGTTAAATCCATTACCAGTTTAGTTGGATCATCAACAAAATATGAGTACTCACTCTCTGTGAGGTTAAGGCTCACTTATCTTTCCCATTTTTTTCTTTCTCAAATATTCAGGTTTTCCAATGTCACACAAAAAACAATGCTTGGAAAGGCCCTGTCTACTTCAAAAAATATCACCAGAATATTAGGATACCAATTCATATTTCCAAATTCACACCAAGTCTGTTCACCCTAATTTGAAAAATATGTTGATTTCTATGAGTTTCCACATTAACATTTTGATGGGGAAACAAATCAGATGCAAATTACAGCTTTTTATTCACTTTATTCAAAATATCATCACATCATCTAAAATAAAATCACTTTTATTTGTCCCATCTAATTCAGGAAAAAACATCTACAGCATATGTCTACACATGTATACATATAGAACATATATTTAACTCAAGTACACATACAGAACATATATTAATTCGGGCGCCTGGGTGGCTCAGTCGGTTAAGCGGCTGCCTTCGGCTTAGGTCATGATCCTAGAGTCCTGGGATCGTCCCGCTTCGGGCTCCCTGATCAGCGGGCAGTCTGCTTCTCCCTCTGCCTCTCCCCCGACTCGTTCTCTCAATCTCGCTCTCATGCTCTCTCAAATAAATAAATAAAATCTTAAAAAAAAAAAAAAGAACATATACTAATTCAAGAACACATATAAAAAAACAAACATCATGGGGCGCCTGGGTGGCTCAGTCGTAGTCGTTAAGTGTCTGCCTTCGGCTCAGGTCATGATCCCAGGATCCTGGATCAAGTCCCACATCGGGCTCCCTGCTCGGCGGGAAGCCTGCTTCTCCCTCTCCCACTCCCCCGTGTTCCCTCTCTCGCTGTGTCTCTGTTAAATAAATAAATGAAAAAATCCTTTAAAAAAAAAATCAATCAAAACCAAGTTAAGAGGAAAGAAATACATGTTCTGAAAGTTACAAGATACCTGTGCCTCCAATAAAAATGGCTTAATCTTAGCTTAAATAGCTAACTAGAAATTCCAGGCTGCCATATGCTTTCAATGTCCAAAATGTCCCAAATAGAAACGCTAACCATGACTGTACTTTAAACAGAGAAAATCAAGTTTTCCATTCAATTTTAATATTAGAAATCAAGTAAAGTGATAAAAACAATTTAAGGATCTTTTTTTTAATTTTTTTTTTTTTTTAGATTTTATTTATTTATTTGAGACAGAGAGAATGAGAGACAGAGAGCAGGAGAGGGAGGAGGGTCAGAGGGAGAAGCAGACTCCCCGCCGAGCAAGGAACCCGATGTGGGACTCGATCCAGGGACTCCAGGATCATGACCTGAGCCGAAGGCAGTCGCTTAACCAACTGACCCACCCAGGCGCCCCAATTTAAGGATCTTTATTTGCTGTTCTAACAAAACAAAAATACACATTCCAATACTGAGTAATTTAAAGGATTCTGCTTTATAGACCCTCTCCTGGAACAATACACCAGATAGCTATCAATCCCAAGAATGCAGAGTTCTTCCATTCTCGAACACATTAAACGTCTGCCCGTATCTATCACATTTTTTTTTTAAAGATTTTATTTGACAGAGAGAGCACAAGCAGAGGGAGAGAGGGAGAAGTGGGCTCCCTGCTGTGGGACTCGATCCCAGGACGCTGGGATCATGACCTGAGCAGAAGGCAGACACTTAACCGACTGAGCCACCCAGGCGTCCTCTATCACTTTCTAGAGACATTTTTTACCAGCATTTAGTTTTCTTCCGACATTATTCTATTTTAAAAATAAAATTCTATAATTACATAAAACAAAGAAAAAACAGACTAGATACAGAGCTGCAGTATTTGTGATTTATTAAAATTTCAGGTTTTTACTATGAAGAACACTTGTGCTTTTCCTGAGCATTTTATTTTCATCTCATGAACACAGTGAAACTGGTGACCATCCAGCTCTCCCTGCTTGTGTTCCCTCTCTCACTGTCTCTATCAAAGAAATAAATAAAATCTTAAAAAAATAATAAATAACAAAGTTTTAATCCAATACTCAAAAGTCCATCCTTTCCCAATGTTAGGCTGTGCATAACATGACCCTAATTAGGATAAATATTTAGGTACTTAGAATAGCACATTTTTGTGAAATTAGTGTATGCAGGTTGCTCATTTCAGCTCTATATTTCAAAAGTTTAGGCATCTAACTTAGTAAGTATACTCTGAAATATCGAGAACCACTCTGGCACAGTGATTATAAAGCTAACTCAAATAGTATAGTATAAGTTCCCATGATATGTTAACTGTTGTTTAGTGGCCACATATCCAGTCAAAATATGATCAATCTTTGGATAAATTATACTAATAACCATTTCAAATCACTGAGGAAAGTACAGAACACTCAAA